TCGGTCTCGTTCTCGCCAGACGGCACTCGCATCATCACTGGTTCTTCGGATAAGACAGTTCGGCTGTGGGATACAGGGACGGGGAAGCCAGTCGGTGAGCCCTTGCGAGGGCACACTCATTCAGTTTGGTCGGTCTCGTTCTCGCCGGACGGCACTCGTATCGTCACTGGCTCGGAGGATAGGACTGTTCGGCTGTGGGATGCAGTGATGAGCCAGCCGTCGCAACAGCGCACCAAGTCAGATCACCCAGCATTCTCGGACGAACATCGTACGATCGAGGCTACCACTACCATGACATCGAGCACTTTGAACAATCAGTTCATTTGTTTCTCACCAAACTCCATCCATGCGCTACGCAATGCTTCCGAGTTAATAGAGGGAGCATCCCATAGCGACCGTAGTTCGGTCCCCTTGTTCCTGAATAGTGACAGTGGATGGGTGGCAGGCCCCAAACGTAGGCTGTTATTCTGGGTACCACCCGCTTCTCGACATTCACTTTGGAGCTATGGCACTGCATTAGTGATACCAAGCGGTCCTGAGCTTGATTTGAGCCGCATGGCACATGGGCAACACTGGCAAAAGTGTCGAGAGGAGTGAGTCTCTTCAAACCCATTTCTGTTCCTCGCAACTACTAAAATCAATACTTGCAGACCTTGGCATCAATGATGATCGCAACAATGGATCCATTATGAAAATTTCAGGTACAATTTAGATGTGACCGAGTGTACAGTGGATCATACTTTGTATTTTATTCTATGCGCAGCATGTAGTCCGAGTTTAAGATTGTCCATGCAAACGACGTGAGCTGACTGTGTGGCACTCGTATTGTTAGTGCTGGTTTGTGATAGCACGTGACGATGGACAAGGCATGCAGATTCCTTCAGATGCAGTTGCGCGTGTGCCGTGGATTGAGTTGAAGTGTATCGCATTGGTGCTTCATCCTAGCGGACTGAGAAGCTGAACAGAAGGACATCGTTGTTGCGGTCATCCGTGGTCGTTCAAGTTCCCGAGTACATTCAAAGTGGGCTAAAAATAGGGTGAGACGAAATATGTAGCTCATTGGAGGTGTTTAAAGTATGGTATAGCATGTAATAAATCCACGACGAAGGTGATGAGAACGAGAGTACTATGAAAACGATGCGTGTAAAAATGTTATGAGTTGTGAGGTATGGAAAAACAGCTGGAAGGAAAAAGCACTGAGCAAGACGGGCCAGGACAAGAGTGGCCCTTCTTTGGCACTCATCCCTCGCACCTCAGAAGGAACAACAGCTGGAAGGAAAAGGCACTGAGCAAGAGCGAGCGAACGGGGGGTGAAATTGAGGAAATACGAAGGGTAGGACCTAACATGAGAAGTTCCGGCACGATAGATGTAATTAAATTGAGGGTGATATTGGATATAAGTGCATCGGGGTGTCACAACGGGTGTCTTCGTCAAGGAGCTCTTCGATAGTGGGTTTCTGGCGAGTCAACAGGAAGAGTCTAAGGACTACAATCGAGTTCCATAAGTCTGCATTGAGCTCGTGATAGATGTGTGGCACTGCATGAGGCTAGGAGAAGTAGACTGCGACTCGCGAAGTTGTTGAAGGGCTTTCATAATACAGTTGCTACGCGCGTCTGAGTTAACACACGCAGGCCCAGAGTACTTGGTCGCAAGTCGTAGTTATTGGGTGGTACATATTGACGATTTCCGTGGTCCACTTTATCCTCTCCAATGCAAAAATAGGAGGGTCGGCGTAACGGTGTCTTCGTTTCCGCTCCAAAGGCATGTTAATATGGAAGCGGGTCGTCGTTTGAAGAGAGAATACGGCAGTCTTGATGTCTGCGAAGTTTGACGTGTCGTAGTTTGAGAGGAACTGACAGTGACGATTTAATGTGGAGTAAGAGGGTGCGGCAGCGGCGTAGAAAGGGTTCGCGACGTTAATTGATGATGCGTATATCACGTTCGGTGGGTGTGACGAGGACGGGGAGGAGAAGGGTGAGAATTAAGAGATCGATGATGGAGCTTATAAGCTGTTGATACTCGCGAGAAATATTCCAGGACCGGCACCTCTAAACATGCATCTGAGGAATCACGAGGTTGATGTACAGTTCTAAACTGCGTTTGTGCGAGGAAAGAAGTTTTCAGAGATGAATGAACATGGGTTGGTTGTAATGCGTAAAAAATGAGATGCGTCGGGGAATGTGTACCTTGGCCTTAGCAAGGACGTCGAGTGCCGGTGCAGTGAAGTGTTGCATATGTTTAGCACATGTCAATCTTGTCAGATTCGGTCATTGGTTTGTCCTTGTTTGTCCAGAACGAACGTGTGATTGATCATTGGACCAGCTGAGAGGAGTCGACCCTCCACACTCGAATCGGGGGCTGGGAAGGTAATATTGTAACTGCGAAGAACGGGGGATTCTCATTTCATACACTGACAACCATGAACAGTATCCCTAGAATTTTGCATGGTATCGGTCTCAATAATTTCTGTGATCGGGTATCGCAGACCTGAGACCTCAAGACAATCCCCCGTATCTGACTTCAAATCAGTGGAGAATCAAACTGTGCCCACCCAACCAACGTCCCCGGACGGACCAGCCATGAATTTCAAGTTGCCACACTAGCAGTGACAACCCACCGGCCATCCCTTGATACCGCCACTACCAACACCTCCTTGCAAACACCCCACGCTTTCTTAATCTCCTGGCACGCCTTCAGATCCCATTGCTGAGTGGTCTTGTGGTGTCGGTGTCAATGTGCTATATGACTGACGGTGGCAGTGATTCAAAGATGGGTCGTCTGGTAAGGCCAAACATCAATTCATCCGCGCTGGAGATACAGATGTGAATTTGGTGTTACCACCAACGATGAATTCCTGAATGTGAGTGCAGCTTTTGGCCTTGGGCGCCGCCTTGCATATATACCCTAACACGCCCCCTCTGCATGGCACCTGTACATTGCGCCCCGCATCGTTCTATTCATCACAGTTGCTTCTCCTCGCTCCTCGGCTCACAGCCGTGGCCTATATTACAATGTTCAACTTTTATGACATATCATTGCTCGCTTGACGGGTTCGCTTTAGCTTTTAGGGAGACCACCATTCATCATTCCATCAAAACGAACCTGCACATGCAATATTGCAGACACGTGGATGTTTCAACGCCCTTTGTGTTTGTCCTGGCTGAGGCCTGACCATGCACTAACCACCTCATGAATTCACAGCGTCACTTCTGATATTTGAACGTTTCTCTGACACAGATAGATCAGAAGTCGAGATCGACATTACCATACATACTATATGCATGTCCAACAATGGAAGCTTGGGCTGTGAACTCATCCCTGCCCGTGATCGAACTGCCCGTGACTCACATTCTTATCGCAAGTCGCTCGGAAGGGCATATTCGTGAAGTCATTCGGAAAGATGTGCGCCCGCTGGTGGGCAAGATACCAGTGAACATTTCTGACAAAAAAGGTAACAAAACAAAAGACAGCGCAGATATCAATGAAGACATCTATCGTTTCTTGGATGCTTCCTTCAGAAACTGTGGCTTTGATATTCCATTTTCCCGCAACCAACAAAGGCTCAACTTGGATGGCTAGCGAACCGAGCGCGCAATGGCTAGGCTATGCAACCCCCGGATCTTTAGAATTCAAAACACTCTTTGTCCTTCGTGGTCCAGTCACCGGAGCCAATGCAAGTGCTTATAACTTTGTTATGGCTTCGAGTTACCGTTCAGAGTTACAGTTCTGTCTAGATACCCCGGGCGATGGGCTGGCTGCTGAGTGAAGGAGTGAAGAACTGGCTCTGACCCACCCAGAGGGGGAAGAGTGGTTGCGCACCCCGGGCGTACATGATTGGTGGGAGACAGAGGTCGGGTTAGAGACTGGTCTATGAAAGAGCTCGATACGAGACTTAGCTCCCAGTCACCCCAAAACACGCATCTCTCACTTCCAATATAACAACTCTAACATCATTCCATTCAGCACTTGCACTATCCAAAAGTCTCCTCACAACCGATGTCCCAGTAATACCCGAGCCAACGACAAAATCAGCATGTATCGGGATGAGAAACGTGAGCTACTATGGAGGAGGGTAGGTAGGACCAGAGTGAGCGGCTGGGAGTAGGGAGTGGGAGCCCCGGAGAGCGCTGGATACGTGCTCAGAAAGTTTGGAAGGTGTCGAGGTTGTCGAGGAATTCAGTTAATGCTAGGCGGATGAGGGAGTGTGTATTTCCCATCGAGGGAAGGAAGGAATCGATGCGGTTGTGGCGCGCTTGCAGGTTGTCAAGTTCTATGATTTCCTTGCAAGTTCGGTGCGGTTCGCCCTCCATAGCTCGATAAGTTCATTGCATAGGTCGCGGACTCGTTATGTACATCGAGTCCATGGCCTACATGTAACTATCATCACCAACTAAGCAAACTGACTCACCTACCTGCGCGTCGGCAGCGTCTGCCATCGTAAGACTTGGTATCCGTAGGTTAACAATATGACACTTGCGGTAGAGTGCGCCTGCGTTGAGCACTTCTTCTGGAGCATCAAAGCCTTGGTAAGCATTGTTCTTGAAAGGCGTTGGGAGAAAAAGACACACAGCATGGATTTCATAGCAGATGTGGTGGATTTTGTGAGAAGGCGGAGGAGGGGCCGGGGAAACGTATACCTGAGGAATCGTCAGTTCGAGTCAAATGAAGATTAATGATGCTGAATGTGGATTGATCCTAGCGGCGTAATTGTATCTGATGTAGAGAGCCGAGGAACGCGCGGCCCATATGGGGACAATATAATTAATGTTGGACTTTTACACATCCGAGGCGTCTGTCTTGTGTACCTGGGGAGTGCATCTAGGACACGCTGGAGTTGGCAGGCCATTTGAAGGGAACGTCAGTCTTCTTCTTGGTGGAAGATCGGCGACGGCATGACGTTGATGATGCATTCAGTGGGTGCTGTGCATAGTGTAAGTTCTCACGTGACGCGCTATGATCGGTGCTGTAGCCTGTTGACCAATCAGACATTGCATAGGATCGATTTTGGTCCTCCGATCGGTGTTGCTTGGTGCTTGCAGGCTGCGGCAGTGCAATAAATATTGCCTCGAGACTTACTCGAGGCATGTACCAATGATGGCCTATTATTCTATATATAAATGCTGTCGGACCCTTCCTTACTTTGCCTCCCTCCACGATGGACCAACGCAAACGCAAACGCAATTCATCGACGAATTCGACTCAAGACACCAGAACAACAGCTCCTGAAAGCTCGGTACGTGGCTTATGAGAACCACCTAGTTCACTCCACTCCAAATACTGAGATTGATACATCCTTCATCTAGCATCACAGACTTGTGGAGAACACACGTGAATTGGTGCATCATGATGAAACCAACTATGCCTTGGTCAAGGGCGGTGTTAAGAAGTTAAGGATCTCGGTAAGTCCACGAGCATGCGTAATGAATGTCCTGGAATACGACTAAGATTGGCATAAGCGCTCGAAGGATTCCCCCAGCCGTAGTTCTGTTCCCCCGAATGAACGTGCATCATCGATATCGGTAGGCTCTCATACTTGCCCTCCACTCTCTGTGCTCTCTCTAAATTCTGCTGATCGCTCAGGTTCATGTGGCTCCATCTGGTTTGGAAATGGAGGTTGATACCCAATCAGCACTTCAGGATACTCAAGAGGCTGTACAGCACATGCATTCACTTCCAAGACCTGCGAAAACCGTGGTTTCGCACCTTCAAGAGGCACAAGAGGATCTCGATGCTGCTGACATCTGCCAGGACATATATCTCGAACTCCTCAGGGTATTCGACGCTGTTATCGGAGAGATCGCGGATGTATGGACCCTCTTCTCGATCAGAACGGAACTAATCTAGTTCCACAGGTACATCCCCATGCAAAGATAGCACTGGGCATGTTGTCTTGTGCAGCCAAAGTATGTTTTCATTTTCTCTCTCCATATCTCTTACCGTTACTCAGCAATCATTTGTGCAGGTCATTCTAGCTCAAGCCGATCGCGACACTGCGGTGCTCAAACTTCTCGATAAGTTATGTGAAGTTTATAACTTCATACTACAAGACGAGCTGCGTAGCAAAATATCGTCGATGTGTACGATCCTTGGAAAGATTTCTCAGCAGACCCGTGAATGTGCCCGTTTTATCCAAAATTATTCGGAGACTAAGGAATTCTGTGAGTCTTAACAAGCTACTGCGCTCTGTACCATCTCAAGCGTCCACTATTATCACAGGGGGTAGACTTGGAAAGAACGTCGTCTCGGAAACGGAAGATACGATCCAAAAGTACAATGACGTGTTCGATAGGCTCATGCAAAACTTCCGGGACCAGGTCGCTCACGATGTAGCCATACATGTTCATCGTACGAGTAAGGGTTCGCACATCCTTGTGACTTGACATATATTCATACTTTTTCAGGAGAGATATTGGACCTCAGCGGTATGATTTACGCAGAGGGCGCGGGACTAGACACCAGAAAACAATGCCTTGAAGGGACCCGCACGGAAATCCTTTCCCAGATCACAGAATGGGTAAACAGCACTGAGGACAATGTTCCACGCGTGCTGTGGCTATCTGGCCCTGCAGGCAAGGGCAAATCGGCGATCGCCCACACAATTGCTAAGTGGTTCGAAGACGTGGGAGGACTTGGTTCATGTTACACTTTTGACCGCCAGCGAGAAGCAGATCGTCGCCATGAAAAGATCTCTTCCACGATCGCGTGCGACATTGGCTGACCGTAATCCGGAGATGAGAAGGGCATTGGCAGATGCAGTTCAAGCCGCGAGTTCGCTCAAGAAGACGGCAGATATAATCCAACAGTGGCAGAAGCTTCTTATTGAACCACTGGAAAAGTCATCTGGGTCGGCTGGGGAACCCATCGTGGTCGTGATCGATGCACTGGACGAGAGCGGTGGAGTAGAGACACGGAAAGACCTCCTCAGCATTCTAGCTGGCAAACATCAAAACCCCGCTGTTCCAAAACTCACAGACCTCCCTGGCAACTTCCGTTTCATCGTTACCTCTCGACCCCTTGATGACATCAAAAACAAGTTTCGTGGTGTCCAGCATATTCGACAGATGTCGATGGATGATATTCCACGAGCAGATGCGGAGCGCGATATCCATGCTTACGTATCCAAGGAATTGGAAGAGCTGGATTTCCAGGATAGAGATGTCGCAGTCCTCGCTGAGAAAGCTGATGGACTTTTCGAATGGGCGCGTCTCGCCTGTGGATACATCAAAGAGTCCGATATGGTATATCCAAAGGATTGCTACGAGGCTGTGGTGTCAGCGCAATCCTGCTAAGAGAACTCCGCTGTTGCACGACATGTATCGCCTCATTTTAACAAATATCATACCCGGGGGATAGATCTCTGCATTCGCAGGAATTGCGTTTGACTGCATTAGCTAGATTTCGCTCAGTGATGGGGCAAATACTAGGCACAGCTGAACCTCTTCCTTTAGCTTCCCTGAACGCCATGAGGCTGCCATTTTCCAACGCAAAAGGACGATTTCGACGTGGAGCTTGTGGTAAAAAGGATGGGCTCCCTCCTCAGCGGGACCACCAACCCAGACTCCCCAATCCGACCCCTTCACGCATCCTTTCATGATTTCTTGACGGACGAACGATCCAGCGGAGAGTTTTTCATCGACCTGTCAAAGGCCCAACGCGACCTTGCATTCGCCTCACTTCGAGTGATGAAAGACGGTCTTCGCTTCAATATCTGTGATCTTAAAGTCATCGTATCTGTCCAATAGCGAAGATCCCGGGCTGCAAGAACGAGTTCGAAAATGCATCCCCCCACACCTGTCATATTCCTCTCGATTTTGGACGTCGCACGTACGAACCACAACCTTCGACAAGGAGCTCGCGAAAGAAGTTAAATTGTTCTTCGACCACGAGCGGGTGTTTTTCTGGCTGGAGTCACTCGCCCTGACCAATGCGCTCAGCGGTGCAGTCGGTGCCCTTCCGCCCATTGCCCAGTGGCTGAAGGTGAGCACAATCCTACTAGGTGTCAGATAAAGCGCTCATGTACAACCACAGGGCCATCCGAAATTCAAAGATGTGTCGTCGACTGCAATGGACGTACAAAGGTTCATTCAAGTCTTCGGCAGGATGATTTTACACAGCACGCCACATCTGTATGTATCAGCACTCCCATTCTTGCCTGCCAACTCTCCGCTATCGAGAAAGTTTTCTGCACGGTTTCCGAATAATCTTCTTGTAGCATCTGGACGTGATATGAACTGGCCGGCTGTTCAAACCGTGCTCAATGGGCACACTTCTTTCGCAACGTCGGTCTCGTTCTCGCCGGACGGCACTCGCATTGTCAGTGGTTCCTGGGATGACACTGTTCGGCTGTGGGATGCAGGGACGGGGGAGCCAGTGGGTGAGCCCTTGCGGGGGCACACTGATTCAGTAACTTCGGTCTCGTTCTCGCCGGACGGCATTCGCATCGTCACTGGTTCAAGGGATAAGACTGTTCGGCTGTGGGATGCAGGGACGGGGGAGCCAGTCGGTGAGCCCTTGCGGGGGCACACTCATTCAGTTGGGTCTGTCTCGTTCTCGCCGGATGGCACTCGTATCGTCAGTGGTTCGCACGATAACACTCTTCGGCTGTGGAATGCAGGGATGGGGGAGCCAGTCGGTGAGCCCTTGCGGGGGCACATTTTTCTCGTAACGTCGGTCTCGTTCTCGCCGGACGGCACTCGCATCGTCAGTGGTTCCTGGGATGACACTGTTCGGCTGTGGGATGCAGCGACGGGGGAGCCAGTCGGTGAGCCCTTGCGGGGGCACACTGATTCAGTAACGTCGGTCTCGTTCTCGCTGGACGGCACTCGCATCGTCAGTGGTTCCTGGGATGACACTGTTCGGCTGTGGGATGCAGGGACGGGGGAGCCAGTGGGTGAGCCCTTGCGGGGGCACACTGATTCAGTAACTTCGGTCTCGTTCTCGCCGGATGGCACTCGCATCGTCAGTGGTTCGGAGGATAAGACTGTTCGGCTGTGGGATGCAGGGATGGGGGAGCCAGTCGGTAAGCCCTTGCGGGGGCACACTCATTCAGTTGGGTCTGTCTCGTTCTCGCCGGACGGCACTCGTATCGTCAGTGGTTCGGACGATGACACTCTTCGGCTGTGGGATGCAGTGATGAGCCAGCCGTCACAACAGCGCACCAAGTCAGATCACCTAGTATTATCGGATGAACGTCGTACGATCGAGGCTACCACTACCATTTCATCGAGCACTTTGAGCAATCATTTCATTTGCTTCTCGCCAAACCCCATTCATGCACTACGCAACGCTTCCGAGTTCATAGAGGGAGCATCCCATAGCGACCCTAATCCGATCCCCTTTTCCCTGAATAGTGACAGTGGATGGGTGGCAGGGCCCAAACGTAGGCTGTTATTCTGGGTACCACCCGCTTCTCGACCTTCATTTTTGAGCTCTGGCACTGCATTGGTGATACCAAGAGGTCCTGAGCTTGATTTGAGCCGCATGGCACATGGGCAACACTGGCAAAAGTGTCGAGAAGAGTGAGCCTCTTCAAAACCATTTCTGTTCCTCGCCACTACTAAAATCAACACTTGCAGACCTTGGTACCAATGATGATCGCAGCAATGGACCCATTATGGAGATTTCAGATACAATTTAGATGTGACCGAGTGTACAGTGGATCATACTTTGTATTTTATTCTATGCGCAGTATCTAGTCCGAGTTTAAGCTTGTCCATGCAAACACCGTGAGCTGACTGTGTTGCACTCATGATGTTAGTACTGGTTTGTGAGAGCACGTGACGATGGACAAGGCGTGCAGATTCCATCAGAGATGCGGTTGCGCGTGCGCCGTGGATTGTGTAACTTCATGTTGAAGTGCATCTCATTGATGCTTCATCCTAGCGGACTGAGAAGCTGAACAGAAGGACATCACTGTTGCGGTCATCCGTGGTCGTTCAAGCCCCCGAGTACATTCAAAGTGGGTTAAAAATAGGGTGAGACGAAATATGTAGTTCATTGGAAGTGTTCAATGTACAATACGTACAGCATGTACTTAATCGTGAAATCCACGACGAAGGTGAATGGACACATATGGGTTTGTTGTAATGCGTAAAAGATGAGATGCTTCGGGAATGTGTACCCTGGCCTTAGGAAGGACGTCTGCCGGTGAAGTGTTGTATATCTAAATCTTAGATTCGGTCATTTGTTTGTCCTCGTTTGTCCAGAACGAACGCTTCCTCCGTCGAGCGCCTCAAGTCCTTCATGGACAAACTCCCTTCAACCTTGTAGATACATCTCGCACTGAAGCTATCCATAGACCATAAGAACGAACATGACTGGACGCAGAAGTTTTGCGAGGACGACAGTAGTTGAACCTCTGTAGGTGTTGCCCTCGCGCGCATCCATAACAAGACTAATTGTCTTAGGTTCAAATCAAAGGTCGAAGAGCAATGTGTATTCACCTACTTCCGCTCTTAACTCCTTCCCATTTTTTCCTTCTCTGTCAAACTCCCTTCTCCTTGACTATGTGGGCAAATATCTTCCCAATTTCAGCCCCGCCATTCAATGTTCATCGTCTACAGCAGCAGAACCATAAAGCATCAATACACCCGCACGCACCCGTTCGCTCTCCACGTCCCTTGCTCAGAACAAGAAAAGGTGCACGTATCAAGCGTAGGCACCATGTAAGATAAGGTGCTCCAACTTGTGCGTGCACAGTTGACAAATCAGCATGTCAACTGCGTGGAAGGGGAAAGATCGGTCGACGACTACGGTGTCACAGACAGACAGACAGACAGGCGCCTGGTGCACCCGCTAAGAGTGGCGAGTGACACCGATCTGTTTGTTCGATAAGTTCGCCTTTTTTGCCTCTGTTGATGACGTGTCTTAACGGTTTTCATGGACGGGAGATTTTCTGAGCGCTTTGTCAGTACTCGATCACCACCTTAAATCTATGTCGCTGGATCCATTAACACGCCCAAATTTGTTAGTCTGTGCTTTCGCGTTGATATCTAGTTCACTGGCTAGTATACAAATTATCGAGGTATCTTCTGAATATATTCGTGGTCTGTCTAAGAGGCTGTCCTGCTATGACCTGTTAATAGCAACTTTTTTGTCTTGCCAAATCCGCTCTATCATGTCCTCTCTAATAAGGTATACACCTTGCGTCTTCATCACCATTAGGCACGGATCTAAAGGAGTGGGTCGAGATTGTAACCGAAAATGATTATCACTGCTCACATTCTGTTGCAGTCTGTCACTTGTAATTTTTCGCTCGGATTTCATTTTGACGCGGGGCCTGGGGCTTACCTACAGATTTAAATATAGCTCCCCATATCTCATCGCTCACCCTACAATCCCGCTCTCGAGTTGTTGACTCTGCTAATAAACCATGTTGACATTCACCGATGTCACTTGGTTGGACCTATGCCTTGCTGGTGTCGGAGTCTATCTGGCAAAGCAAGTGCTCACCAAGAAGAATCCTGCACCATACCCACCTGGTCCTGCAGGTTGGCCTCTCGTTGGTAACATTTCAGACATGCCTCGCATCAAGCCCTGCCTCACATTCACTGAGTGGGGCAAAAAGTATGGTGAGCGCCTCCCATTTTTCAAAAATCATGCTTATTCAAAAGTCAATTCTGAAGGTGATATCACGCATGTCCGAGTTCTGGGTCAACACATCATTGTGCTGAACTCTGTCAAAACTGCAATGGAAATGCTGGACAATAAAAGCACTGTATACTCTGACCGTCCTGTTTTTCCTATGGGTGGCGAACTTGTTGGCTTCAAGCACGCCTTACCTTTCCTCCCTTATGGTGACCGTTTTCGCCAGTACCGCAAGAACCTCCACCGTGCCATTGGCAGCCGTGCCGCAGTGGACGAATACAGGCAGGTCGAGGAGATTGAGACTCGCCGATTCCTGAAGCGTGTGCTTGCGAAACCCAACCAACTACAGGAGCATGTTCGACAGTATGCATTATTTATCTTTGCATTTATGTGATCTTAAATTTTTACTGTAGCACTACTGGCGCTGTCATTCTGCGCATCTCTTATGGTTATGAAGTGAAAGAGAACAACGACCCCTTCATTGGCCTTGCAGATCGCGCTATGAACGGAATCTCGCAGGCCACAACTCCCGGTGCCTTCATGGTTGATATTTTACCGTTGTGTAAACTTTATTATTCCCGACATTGGCTTTCAATGACCTTGATATTTTAGTGGCAAAAGTCCCCGCGTGGTCCCCCTGGCGCTGGCTTTCAGCGCATAGCACGTGAATGGCGTGAGACCCTCGAAGAGATGGTTTCTGCACCCCACAAGTTGGTTCAGGATCAGATGGTGACCATTTTGCAATTTTGCGATCATGCATTGATGTCTGACTTTTTCAGGCTGCTGGCATTGCCCCTACGTCTTTCACCTCGAATCTCTTAGAAGGCTGTGCTATGTCCGCAGACGATGATCACATCGTGAAATGGTCTGCTTTTTCTCTATATGGTGGTGGTACCGACACAGTTGGTCTCTCTCTACGCATCTGTGGTCATCATCCTCTGAAAGTACTACACTTATTTCCTCAGACAGTTTCTGCAATATACTCCTTTTTTCTGGCTATGACACTTTTCCCTGATTTGCAGAAGAAAGCTCAGGCTGAAATAGACGCTGTGGTCGGCCCTGATCGTCTTCCCTCCTTCGCCGACCGCGACTCCCTCCCCTATATTGAGGCACTTGTTAAAGAAGTCCTCCGGTGGAATGTCGTCTCTCCTACCGGCATGTGGATTTCGTTTATGACATCATTGAGCTAACGAAGGGTATCTCAATGACAGGTTTCCCCCACCGTGTGACTGACGACGATGACCATGACGGGTATTATATTCCAAAAGGCTCCATGGTATTGTCTAACATTTGGTTGGTACTCTCCCATTTCTGTATTATGAACGGAATTTAAGACTTTCAATTATGACAGGTTCATGCTCAATGACCAACGGACATACGCTAATCCCTCGCAATTCAACCCTGAACGCTTCTTGACTAATGATGGGAAGGAACCTGAGATGGATCCTCGCACGATCTGCTTCGGCTTTGGTAGACGGTAAGGATGCAGTTGGGCTTGAGCAGAATGGCTAACTTTCTGATCCGCAGTATTTGCCCAGGTACGCCTAACTCACGGAAGACAAGCAGTTATCTGAGCCGCTTGCTTTAATTGGGCAGGCCTTCACCTCGCTGATGCGTCTATTTGGATATCTACTGCCATGTCGTTGGCTGTGTTTGATATTTCCAAGGTCGTCGAGAACGGCGTTGAGATCACCCCTGAGTTTGAACCGTCATTGGGTAGTATCAGGTGTCGCATATCTTGTCATATCCGGCGCTGGTCTGGATTAACACACTCCCAGTCACCCCAAACCTTTCAAATGCTCTATTAAGCCTCGCTCTGCAGCAGCCCTTGGACTCATTCAACAAGATGCTAACTACTAAGCGCGCGGTGATGAGACTGGAGAATTGGTAACACGTAGGTTACAAGTTGAACTTACAACCAGAAATTTTGCAAGATCATCCTTGTCCATCGCTATGTTATTTGAGGAGTTCGCACATGAGAATCATGCGAATTGTTTCTGCGGAGCTAACCGTTCATTTTGTAGACATACGCGAGACTAATGAACGTTTGTATTCTACATCAGCTCACCTGCAACCACACGTCCGTGCCCTCTTGCATACCCTTGCATAGGTCCCATCATCCGTCCGTGTCACTGGCCAAATGTGCTTCAAGATCACAGCCTCAATTTATATCAGCCAGCACATCGCTTCCGATGGACACATTCAACCCAAGCACGAAACCTCGTTGTTTCCTATGCACGCAATGCTGGAGGTTCGAGCGTCTCACTAAACGCGTCGCCGAATGAGCGTGACTAACATGATTCATTTCATGTTAAGTGGCACTATCGGCATCATCGATGACCAACCAAGTTGCGAAGCGCATTTATAATTGGTGAAGGATATGCCTGCTTGATATCTTCCCTATCTCTGAGCCTCCGAGTTCTCTTTCAGCCACGTGGCATTGATGGGCTTCGCCAAAGGTACGTGTCGATGCTGTTCGCGGATAACTCATGTAGCAGCTTTTCATTAGATCATTAAGCGTTGCCCGAGCTGCATTCACGCCTCCGATTTTGACAGCAATAGTAAGAATATGCAGGTTATCACACTGTGCTATGGCAATGCAATAAAACTAAAAATGTGGAACAAACCTGGTCCAATCTACCGTATCGTATACACCAGGAGGTAGTGATCGCAAGCTCAACATCATAAGGATGATTAGCGTAATGCGTGCAGCAATATATATGAAAGAGCTGATGGTGGCGGCGATTATCATAATTAGTCCATGACCGGAATCCATGTCGACCAACCAGATGGAACACCCAATATTGATAAAAAGAAATACTGGGACACATGCTGTCCCAAGGGATGCCGCACGCCACTGCTCAGTGTGGCTCTGAAACGAGTAATTCCAGCACAGACAATGCATGGCTCCAAACACCATCCCACTGAAACATCCAAGGAAAAGCGTGGTCATATTGTGATAATCACCGTAGCCACCCAGAGACGGAATACGATGAGAACGAGTAGCACGAGGGGAAACGTATGCGTCGATGCCCATAAGACTGACAAAAGGATCGGCGAGATAAAAGAAATAGGGAAGACAGCATACACCGGAGTCTTCTGATTCGACCTTCCTAGAATACGAGCGAATGAGAACGATCTCGTGCAGTATACTGACGACGTACTCGTAGGTTAAATCACTTGGTGGAGATGCAGTTGCCTTCCAATGAACAACATAAGGACGTCGCACATCCTTGGGTTTCTTCCACCACAAGCAATAGGCAATGCAGGTCAGAGCAGTTATAGCCAAGGTGTCGATTTCAAGCAAGGTTACTGGAAGGTTCTGGACGTAACGTGCAACGAGCTGGGCAACAAACCACGCCAGCTGGAGAATGGCGATGCCTTTTGATAGTCCATCACCCTTGCTTCTATCTTCTATATCTGCCTCTGTAATGATAGGCATGTCCACGTATCCCTCATGAACAAAGTGCAGAAGTTCAGGGGGTGTAAGAGTGGCATGCGGCTTGCTATCGATGTAGAGCATGAATCCACCCATCCACGCGAAGAACCCATTGGTCGCTGTCCATACTGTGAAGGAAACCGTTGTACATTAGTCCCTGCCTGACCGGATAGTCCAGGCATGTATCTGACCTGTAAAATCTGCAGGTTTGGGACCGCTGGGACTTCCACTTGATTTTTCAATTTCACCGAGTGATTGAACCGTGGCCTCTGATATAACTTGATGATCGCCCTGGGTCTTGGCACGCTGTGCACCAATTTCATCGTTGAAGTCCTTGGCAGCTGCACGAGCGCTGAAAAACTGCCGCGTGGCCCAGGTGACCATGAGTTCTGGGGCGATCAACGCCATGACCATGGTGAATAAACGACGAGAGGTGATAGCAAATGCCTTCTCGTCCATGCCCGGAACATTCGTATGGACGGCAGTCCATGTGCATGCAAATAAAGTTACCCCACAGCTCCAGATAATGTCCCACAAGGTTCTGGTGTTGCAGGATGGACAGTCGCTGGCGTCGAGGGTACGGACACTGGTACCATTGAGACTTGGCAGTGAAGCAGAAACAAATGCAATGCATGCCAAGATTGTGTAGAGTAGGAGGGTCATGGTGAAGTTGAGATTATACGCTTGTTAATCCCGCTCTATTTAAGGGATCGGGCTCGTGTACCGATGCACGCATGCTATTGCGTGATACACCAGATTCAAGCGCTAACGCTTATGCCCCGAGGCCACCATGACCACTTGGAATGGCAGATGTAATCTGGATCTATAGTGTGTTTGTAAATATTCAATGTGGATTCAGCCTGGCAGTGAGACACGAGGCATACGTTCATCTGGACTGCTAGCGCTAGCGCTTGGGCTTAGATCGTATTGTCGTAATTCCCGCTGCTAGGAGTCTTCTAGCGCACCATTTTCAAGTTTTCCTGTAACCGAACCAAAATATAAAAATACAGTGATGGTGCGTGTATCGTTCTGGGCGTGAAGTTCCTGTTTTGTTGCGATCAATACCGATGATCTTGCGCAAACAGGCTGTTGGGAAGTTCGCCGTGCGTAATCAAGAAGGAACGACTGTCTTCCTTCCACATGGTCTGGCTAGGGGAGACTAGTAATATGCCATCCTCGCATTTTGTGCCCTGCGCTCTTGTGGTGCAGTCAATACTTTGAAGATACTAGAACACGCACTCATTCCAGTACTGGCATAATCCTAGGATCTGAAACGCAACTCGTGAGCCGTTCTGCGGCTAGGACAATGTGCATCCACGGAGCCTGATAGTGATACATCAATAATGCACATGACGCCTAGGCCCTATACACAAAGTATAAGTTTGAGTTCTGCTGAATCAAAACAAATGAGGTGGTCACGTGCAGTCTAATTAATGTGCTGCGGGCGCCGGAGAGAAGTATAACTTTCGTGTCACTTCGAAAAGACGCGCTGACCCTGACAGTGTTGCATTGCATAGTCAGGGGATGTGACATGGTCATCCGCATCCGTGTGTTTCTCGTCATGATCAAATCGGCGATCATCTTCAAGGAGTGCAGGAGCATGCGAATTTTATAGGAAATTACTGTGGCACCGTCAGCACTTGAAGTTTACGAGGATCTGCACAATCTTGTGTAGTGCAGCACCCGAACGACCATTCTCGAGCATGAGCCAATGTTCCAAGAGCATCACCATAATGTTCTTGCGTTCCTTGACTTTCTCGATTCCGATACGTCAAGGGGTCAAGTGAAAATGAGATGCCGTTGGATTGGGCGTGTAGGAGGGCAATGACTGCGCACATGGTGACCAGATGTGAAGAATGGATCCCTGAGACCCGGTGAGAGATAGAAAATGGCGTGATGATCTTCTGAGTGCAACATACGATTTACGACTAGCGCCAAGTGTGTTATCCCCGCATGTTTTTCCAGTTTCACCGGCGTGCGCTCAGCAGCCAGCATCCCACTGACCGAGTCTAAGGGCTGTTGCAGAACGAAGCTTAATTGAACACCTGGAGTTTTGGGGTGGGTGGGAGGTTGTGTATCCAGACTCAGGGACGATCCCAACTGCCAGGAGGGCCCCAGCTGGGGCACAGCAAGGGTGTGGTAGGGGAGGATGGCTCACAAGACAGGGCGCACTGCAGGGTGTAGGTCCCAGTATACATGGGAACGTTGTCGGTGAAAGGAAGCGTACCGAAACAGGGATGTCAAGGAGAAGAAGCCTGAGAGAACTCGGAGAAGTTAGACATTTGAATAATAGAAGTCCATCTATAGAAGCCACTGGCCATGGCATGTCCTTCTATGATCCCCGGAAGTATTGTATTGATGCATGGCCCCAGCGTACATGTACCATGACTGCAGGCGCCTGGCAAAGCGTTGGCGTCGTTCAAGTTATACCGTGACCGTGACCGTGACTAATGCAAACTGTTCCGAACCCGTATGCTTCAAGTACAAAACTTCAAGGTGGACTTTCCTCTTAATACTAGTACAGTTACAGCCGCAAGGTCTACAATCGAATATTTAGGGCAAGCCTGAGCATTTCAGGCTTGATTTGGGAGTTCACGATGCATGAAAAATAATCGTGCACGAGAACTTCACTAGTACTCATAATGAACCTTCGTATTCCACATCAGTTCACCCTGCAGCCGCCCAATCTTTGCATGCACACGCTCCAGTGAGTCCATGCCCGTATGCACGTTCAAAAGGCCTGGAATATCCTCCTGAACACCCTTGCGCAAGAGTTCATCGTCCATCTGCGTCACCGACCAAATGCGTTTCGTCACAACCTCAACGCTGGCCAGCACATCGCTTCTGGTAAATGCATCAAATCCAGCACGAATCTTCGTTGTTACGGCTGTTGGCTCCGATGCATAGAGTGCTAGAGGCTCGGGCAGCTCGCTTGATGGAAATTCTACAATAGGCGTGCGCGTCCAACCCGGGTGGACATTCACGAACTGTATGTCCATTCAGCGGTCTGCGACTGTCATACTTTCAAATTTCAATTACTCACACGAATGTTCCAAGCAGGAAGTACCTCTTGTGCCAGGACATCGGTGAACGAATCCAAGGCTAACGGCGGTGAGTCAAAGTCACAAAGTCTGCCACAAGCAACATTACCTGCTTTCCTATGAGCACAAAATTCGTAAGCAACACTTGACCAAAATAGCACCATCCCACTCACGTAGTGCTATAGAATCCGATCAGCGGGATTGCAGTGGTCCCTGCCATGCTCGATACTTGGATCAGCATTCCCCCGGCACCCTTCGGATTCACTTCTCTAAAGAACCTAACCGCTTCAAAGCTTACCGCTACCGCGCCCCAAAAATTGATATTCATTAGTTCCTTGGCACGGTCCAACGACGTCCCCTCCACCTCCTGAAAAAACGCCTGGGCTGCGTTGTTATATACGACGTCGACGCGTCCAAAGGCATCCTTGGCCTGTGCGAAGGCAGATTTTACCTGCGCTTCGTTCGTCACGTCGAGGGGGAGTACTAGGAGCTGAGTGCGCGGATATTGGGCCACGAGGTCATCAAGGACGGAGGGCTTGCGCAGAGTTGCGACGGCAATCTCGCCGTTACGCAGGACCTCTTCGACCATCGCCCTGCCGAACCCAGTGGAAGAACCAGTGACTACGATCAGTCAGTAACTTGCACGGTGAGGAGTTACATGCACCAACTCACTCAACCAAACTCGAGGAGTGGATTGTGCCATGACGATTTTGCTTGTGTTGTTCTTTGAAAACCATTCTGCATGATATATCCTGAACTCCGGAGCTCCGTTATACCACCGTCCTGTCAGACTATTGTTCTATTATCGATTGGCTCTTATCAGAAGGCTGATATGTCCGTATGGACGCACATGCGGAGAACTGCGCAGTGGTGATTGTACTTCTGTCGCTCGTTGAAAGCCATTCTACATGCTATAGCCTAAACTCCGAAGCCCCGTGATGCCACCGTCCTGTCGGACTATCATTCATAATTGTTTTCGTCTTATCATAGGGCTGATATAGCCGTACAGAAGCAAACAGTGAGGAAGCTCTCGTAGTCTAGGCCCAAGGGATATTTGAAATTGAAATACAACATGTCCTCACACCTCCATTCATATGCAAATGTGATATAACTCCAGCTTAGGTCGGGCTGCAAGCAGATGGGGAGTTGCAAACAGTCGAATATATCCTGCCATGACATCCGGGTTAGGATATGCTACCAGTCCCGGAGGATTCATCAGTGAACTGGTGAACAGATGAGAAAGCTATTTCAAGCAAAATATTGTAGAGCATGGCAGCAATCTTCATATATCTGTTGACCGCTTTGACATGGGAACGTGCGGTATATCGACAGTGGACACGATGTGATGCTGAGACGTTCTTGCTGCCGCGGCGCTCAAATTCGAGCTCACATCGAGTGTCCCGGCAATAATAATTGAGCATGCACAATCCTTTGCGTCCCTGTTACTTCCGTTCGTTATGCACTACTCTATTGTAAAAGCCCTTGAAAACTTGAATGTTAACTTGAATAGTAATACAGTCCAAAATTTTTGGAAGCCTAAGAAGATCAACATAAGTGGGGCGGCTATTCCATTATGAAGGCCGACCGCCATACCTTCATTGAGAAGCAATGAGAACTGCTCTAAATTTGTCGACCAGCGCGAAAGACGCAAATATTAATATTGGCATCGGATTGTGTTCCAGTACGGTAGCAAATGATTATGATCCCTTGCTGGCATTGTCACCAATTCCTCAAGGCCACTTTGTAGCGTAGATTTGTGTTCATCCATGCATATAATTATCTATAGCAAGTCAAATTTATTGGCGTATAAGCTATTCATATACATATTTGGCAGAACGTTCTGATGAATTCACGGATAAATTAGCCTCCGGGACTTCTCTTCGCCTCTTTTCCTCCTTCGAATTTTTATCGGATTTTGACACCTTCGATACTACATGTCGGTTCCACTGGCGTCTCTGTCATCGCCGGCTCATCGGTAGCATCTTTCCGTCTCTGACAGATATCTTGACATGTTATCTATCGCTTGCAACAGGAGGACGTATGGAGAATAAGGTCATTTTTGTATTCTACATATGTAAGTTCGAGGCACGAGAATTTGTACAAATTCCCAAAGGGTGTGTTATATCGTTCCGATTTTGCGGATAGATCTGTCCGATTTTGCCGTGGCTGTGTTTTCGCCTCAAATAGTTACTGGCTGTGTTGATCGATCAGTCTAGGCCCTGGGTCAGTGACTCGAAGTCAAATCAGGCAACTGTCAGGATCGTCTCTTGGCTGTCGATCTCAGAGTCCAATGGTCTTGTCCCTTTCCTTTCTGCGCCTATTGAGTGTGCTAAATTATTGTATGAACTGGATCAGACACCTGTCTTGCACTATGTGTAAAATATGATGGTGACTTGGGAGTGATCAGGCTGTGCAGGGGGTCAGCTGGCCGAGGCACGAGGCCGAGCCGATATGCTCTGCTCCATCTGAGCAAGATATCGGATACAGACTACCATTATTATTATGATATATAAATTGAGGACTGGTGTGTGTCTGGCAAGGACGGGTGGTAAATCTGATTTCTTTCATGCTGAACACGAAACTGGAAGCTACACATAGATAGGTACTGGGGGATTAAGAAACCAGAAACTGTCGGAAATTATAATGGGTTTGTGAATCAATAAGGATGTTAAGGTACGCAAATAGTGACTTATAATAAGTAAGGCGGTGATGCTAGTTCTGTGACGAAAGAAACAATGTGGATGTAGCATTCGAAGGAACGGAGGGCTGAAAAAGAAGTGTCAGTTATAACCTATGGAGACGATGAGCCATGGAGAATCACATGCGACAAACTTACCGTCACACCACAACGCTAAATCTCGATGTGCTGGCACAACACACTAAGAGAGATGAGGAGGGTTGACAGCTACTGAGAGGGCAACGATACACTCTCCTGATGGCGAGTGCTAACCAAGTGACGATTCAAGTCTGGTGTTTTCTAGAATTCAATTTATGCTGGTCCGTCTAGGTCAGGTTTTGCCCAAATCTAAGAATGGAGTGAAGCTTACAGAGCGAAGGCCGTTTGGAGTCTGGAAAAGCTTTCTGCACGGAATGCAGTACAGGTCAGCGTGCTCAGGCTTCTGCCGATTATGTTCGTGCAGGCCGAAGTTGTTCTTGAAAACCTTGTTACATGTGTCACAGTAAGCATGATTGCCTTCGCAATGATCCTGTAGTTCTAATGGGGAGTCGAAATGGAAGTCGCAATACTGGCAGTAGGAATGGTGGGGGCTCTGAACGTAATGTTCTTTGAGTCCCCGCCAAGATTTTAAATCGGCTCCAGGGTGACCATATTGGCATTTCCAGTGATTTCTGGAGTCCCGGACATGCTGGTTGTAAGCAGACCTGGAGCTGAAGTAGCGGTTACAGCGATAACAATGATCAGTCATCTTCTGGATAGCTCCACTGGAAATTTCCGGGCTGTTATAGGCGCGTCAGCTGTGCCTTCCAAGTCTGTGCAAGAACTTACATCGTCTTTGTCGTTGCGACTTGCAATAACTCCCAATGGTCGTTGAAAAAATGAGACTCCGAGTTGAGTCAGTCGAGTCATTGACGCGACCGTCGCACTGATAGTAGCGGTGCACAGGGTCCCATACGCGTCGGTGCCACTCTGATCAATTTGGCCACAAGCCCAAGTCATCTCCAGACGATGACTAGTACTCAGAGTCATTGTCCACTGTGCAGTACGTAAATGCCTTGTTAAGTACTGCCTCGGAACTTCCAGGGGGTAGCGGTACCGAAATCGTAACTGTGGTTCAGACTTCAAAAGTATGTAGCCGACTCGAGTCCCTCTATTTCTTTGCACACACACTACGCAAGTTTTGCTACAACCCTCCCATGAGCGTATGGACCTTCGCTTTATCGAATTATATACATCTTACTCACGTAGCTACCCACAGACTTCCACTTTGTCTCTTTTGGAGATAATAACAACAGATAAACCTAGCAGCGAAGCCGGCCAACAATCAGCACATTCTTCATCAGGCTTGCTGCAAGATCTTACCAAGGAACTCCAGAATAGATCGACGTTTCCTATAACTTGCGGAGGGTATGGGGACATCTATAGGTGTTATATAGTGAAGCCAGATGGGACCATCCCGGTAAGGTCAGCCTGTGCACTTCGTCACGTATTTTGCTGAATTAAACCCAGGTAGCAGTAAAGACCATTCGTGCTTTTCAGTCTGATAACGAGACCTTGATGCGGAAGAATGGAAAGGTAACGTCCTCTTCCATAATACTTTGTGGTTTCATAATAAACTCGGCATAGAGAATTCGTCGCGAGCTGAAAGTTTGGGGCCGTCTCAAACACAACAGTATTCTTCCACTCTGGGGAGTGGCAACCGACTTTGGACCCTATCTCGCAATGGTTTGTCCATGGGTTGATAATGGAACTCTGACGGACTTTCTTGAGCGCCAAGAAGACACATTGACATTTGAAGATAAGTTCGCCCTTGTAAGTCAATGTTCGCGAGTATTTCTAGACACTTATTGACCTGTTGACGCACGTAAGTTGACTGATATCGCCCTTGGGTTGCAATATCGTAGGTCGTCCTTCACTCCACCTGATTTTTCACATGCTAACAAGGGTCAGTCCATAGCAAATCGATTGTCCATGGTGATCTGACAGGGGTATGTATGGTGACATCCAAAGCGGTACTCCCCATTACTGATGGCCCGATTCTCTAGTCAAATGTCTTGATTTATGGCAATGGTCGGGCATGCATCACTGATTTCGGTCTCTCGACTATGATCGAGGAGTTTGTTGGTACTTCCTATCTCACGAGCTCCATCAGAGGAAATATCCGATGGGCAGCTGCAGAGCTATATGACGTACCCGAGGGTGATGAAGAAGATGATACGTCGGTGTCGCTCAGCGTTGAATGCGACATCTACTCATTTGGCAGCATCATCTTGCAGGTGAGTAGCTTGAGTTCTCGGCCAAAAAACCTTTGTTCACTTTGCGAATGCTCTAGGTTTTGACTTGCAAGGTACCCTACTATGATGTGAAGAAGGATAATGTGGTGTTGGGACACGTCGTCAGAGGAAAGAAACCAGAGCCTCCCAAGGGCTCGCAAGTTGCATCCGTGCACTGGGAGTTCATACAGCGGTGTTGGTCGCCTCGTGCCAGTCGACCATTGATTGGAGAAATTGTGCTATTTGCACATCAGCAATACTGCGAGCTCCATCCAACCGACGCAGTTGACGATGGGAATTTGTCCGGGAAACCGTCTGGGATTTGGCCTGGGAGCTGGTCTGGGAACTGGTCTGGGCACTGGTCTGAGAGTGATAGTGATGAAGGTGACGAGTCAGATGATGACAGCTCCTCTGGAACCGACCAGGATTCCGAAGGAGAGGGCCTGGACGAAGACGAAGACGATGGAGAGGACGACGAAGGAGTGGAGAGCAACGAAGGGCAACGTGGCAGTGAGGGCAACGAGCACGACGAGAGGGATGATGAGGATGACGAGGGCAACGAAGAGGTTGACTGTGATAACCGTGATGAGGTCATTGGCCTGGATGGAAGAGACGGGTCCGATGACGACAGCAACTCCTCCGGAATCGACCAGGAGGTTGAAAGAAAGGACTTCGATGAAGATGGTGAGGAGGATGAGAATGAGTGTGATGAGGACGATGATGAGGATGAGGACGGTGACGACGATGGTGTCGATGATGAAAGCAGCGAGGGTGATGAGGACATCGAGGGCGATAGCGATGATGAGGGCGATGTCGACTATGAGAGCTATGATAACGATGGGGACAGTGGGGACAGCGACTCGGACGGGTCCTGGTAGACTGGTACATTACTGGGACTCAGTCGTTCATGATTGACTGGAGAATCGTCACTAGTAGCCTAATCACATGCGATGCTCAGGTCGCAGGACCTAAACCGATTAGCACGACAACAGCATTAGCTGGACTTGCAAAGGCAAATTTACATAAAAGGCGCGATTCGAACTTCCATAGAAGGAAAACGATGACTATCTTCCCTTCTAGAAGTTCTATAAGTTCTATCAACTTGGTCCTTAGTACTTGAGGGAGACTTGAAAGAATCGTGCACGTACGCGTAATCTCATCGCTGGCCAATGAACACTACTACAATCACCGACTCAGTCTAGGCGCCTCGTTGTGCCACCGTCAGCCAGCTGTAAGTTACCTGTAACGTAAGTACGTTCTTGTTGGAGGCAGAGCACAACTCAAAGCCCTCCCAGATTCATACTAGTACTTCTTAGCTCGAATCCTTTTCCAGACGTCTTCTAGAAATTCATTCACCCCTGTAGTGCGGCCCCTTATTACTTTGGAGCCGAGTTACCTTCCAGTGTACCACACACTAGATCCAACTTGAAGATACCAGGGAACAACTCGGATACCCTAAAACTCATTCCGACGAAGATTACAACTTGCCATGCCTCGCGAAAACAGTTTCACGGACTCTGATCGGCGTTCCTTGACGCCTGACCTTGAGGATGAATTCATGTCATCGCTGAGTCCAGCGCCGCGTTCCGCATCTCCTGCTGATGTTGAACCATCTCTACTCTCCAATGGATCCTCCCAAAAGCCCGCACCTCCGAGTCAGTCTTGGCGACGTCCATCATCATCAATAATTCCAGCCTCACTGCGGCAAAAAACGTGCTCCTACCCTCCGTTTTCAAACTCCCAAAGATCGCTTCCGTGCATGTGTTCGCAAGGTGATATCTATGCACCGGACAACAACTGTCCTTTCGAGCTTCAGTCTCGTCGGTGCAGAACCTGGTGTCGACCCGCGCAAGCAGTCCGCATATCTCCATTACGCGCACATTCGCGAGCGCTGCGAGATCCAGATCACTGACTACAGTACCGTGAGGAGCAGCTTTGGAAAGATGGATAATGAGCGTTTTTTACAAATGTTCAATGATGAGAGAAGTTCGGAGAGGGAGTCGTGGGTGAAAGTGAGGTGGATAAATGTGTGCGGCATCAGCTGGGATGTGATGAGTGCGCTTGCCTTGAAATATGGTATGTAAAGCAGCTACGATACTTCATGTGAGGTATTAATAATCATCGTGCGTAGACCTTCACCCCCTCGCCCTCGAAGACGTCTTGCACAAATCCGGACACACGCGCTCCAAAACGGACTACTACAGTCAACACCTCTTTATCTATGTCTTATCTCACACACTTGCTTCCTCCTCTTCATCTCCAAACTCCTACACACCAGAAGATGAAGACCCACCACGGAGTTCCTCACCAGGTCCAATGACGCCAGGGGACTACCACAAGGAATATTTCAAGGAAAACGACGTCCATGCAGAGGCTGAGGCTGAAGATCGTACGATGTATGGCGGCAGTGCGCCTGCAACCTGGCGACTCGGAAGCGCTATCAGGAACAGAAGGTCAGCGAAAACTGACATGGAAAGTGCGGCAAGGGCCAAGGAGGACGGCTTAACCTCGCTGACGTCTGCTACACGGAAAGAGAGCGCGGTGCGTTGTGTCTCTCGCATTCTGTGTTTTTCCTCATTGCACCCTTCGTTCTTATCTCCAACTTGCTTTAACACGATTCATCATATTTCGATGTGCACTTTTGTCGACGGTACTTTTTTACTCTTTTCTACTCTCTTCTTGATCAATGCAGTTCTAAACCAATACTCATCGTAACGTCCTTGCTGCGCAGTCCCGAAAACGCCGGGAGAAAGCTCAGATGACTCTCACTGATCTGAAGAAGGCAGGCCGCGTAAACGTTTGCATCCACCCGATATCAATTTTCTTATTGAGAGATGGTGAGCACTGGACTCATTTGCCTAGTTGTTTCATCATTGTGTTTTTTTTTTCATTTGTTTACTGCCATATCCCGTCCTTCCTATTCGACTTGTATTAATTCATGTCCATCGGAGTGTACACACATCCGGTGGGCCACGTGTATGATAATTTGTGGTGCATATATCCCAATTTTGAGCCAACATTCACTATCAAGTCACTATATGCTTTTATTTCGACGTATACCACGATTTGTGCACATTTTTGCTCTTGGTTTGACGTATATGCTTCGAGTTTGAGCTGCATCCCAATTTCGAATGATCGTAGCTGACTCTACCTGACACAGGCACAGTAATCTCTGTTATGCCGTCCAATTTCATCGACTTCACGGGTCCCATTATGGCGCGTCTCCGACAGCCCGACACGGGGCTGCGTGCATCCGCAGATCCCAGTCTGCTCGTTCAAAGTCTGCTCGACCTCATCGTGGACTCTGCAATCGAGGTAGTGGATGCATTCCATGAGAAGATATTGCAGCTGGAATACGATGTGTTGATGAAGCCGGATATGAAAGTGGTTTCAAGGCGTGCGCGTTATTCTCCTCGTCCGTTTCTGTTTGTGTTGACAGTCCTGAAACCAGTGCATATTCTTTCCGGTGATTTGATGCTGCATAAGCGGACCCTTGGGCCTCTCAAGACAGTCATTTATGGGCTACGGCGGTATGACGAGGACCGGTGTGCTGCACTGCTCTCGCCTGCTGAGAAGGAGATCCAAGAGCAAAGGAGAGAGAAAGTAAAGGGGTTCATGTCCCATAAGAGTAAAATATACTTGGTGCGTCGTGACTTGTTTTCATCCCTTTGTATAAGTTTTGCCTGAGTTGAGATGTGATGGCAGGCGGACGTGCATGATCATATGGAATATATCCTTACAAGCATGGATATGTTCGCAGGGATCGCAGAAAACCTGATCAACTACACGTTCAATGTGCGTAATTACTTTGTCTCGATTTTTGTGTTGATTGATACGAGTGACAGATGAAATCACACGAGATGAACGTAGTCATGTGCGTGCTTTTTTCATTTCATCGTCATGTTTCGAACTGATGTTGACTATCAGGCGCCGCCTCACCCTCGCAACTATCATATTCCTCCCGCTGACATTGCTCACAGGTTACTTTGTGTGTCTCTTCCCACCTCGCTTACCCCACCTCGTCTAACGCATCGCACAGGGAATGAATTTTGAATTTATGTGGAGTATTAAAACCCATTCCGACCTCTTGTACGTATTTTATTGTCTCGAACTCCCACAAAACTCGAGGCTGACCTATGCATGCCCACAGCTTTTGGAAGATCGCGATCCCTGTCATGGCATTCGTCATACCCTTATTTATGTGGTCAGACTTGAAGGGTGCTGCACATTACGCTGAGAAGCGGTGGGCAGCGAGGAAGTCGATGATGGTGTGTCGTTACTTGATTTGTCGTATGTTTTGGTATGTTAATGACCGTCTGATAGACGATCAAGGGTAAGTTGGCGTGAATGCCACTGGCCAATGTACGCAAGATTCAGCGCGGTTGTACTACTCGACTGTGCGCGGTTGATGTTTTATTTCATAGATTTCAGAGCATCTGACGTTGCTCGGCTGTTTGGCCTGGTATGTCTTGCTTTCTATTTGTTGTCAGTCTAGATGTTACTGTTCGAAATTTCTCCTCGTTTCTGATGTGCCGGTCTTTATTTAAGTGACATCTTGCGATAGTCAAGACATCATTTCGTGGTGCTGGTGCCACGTACACGACAGTACATATGCTACGACTTACAATATCCATACAAGCACCTTTCCCCCACAATACCATGTCTTAAGTTTGACCACCCACCCTTTTCTGATTTAGGCACTGTCGCCGGCGATGACCTTGCTTCAGATTAGCTGGACAGACAATTCATAGCCTAGGCCGCCGTCGGAGTATGCTCCGTCCCTCGGCTTGCAGCCCAAGATTCTGGACCCTGTGATATTCCGGCATCCATGATCACATGCACTGCAACACACTGAAGGAGTGCCCACCGTTCTGTTATTAATTCTCTGATACTTGATTCTTCTCGCGAACCACTCCGCAGCAGTGGAATCAGTCTCAAAGTTCCTGTCAGGTTGCTTCTTCACCGCTTCTGCAATAATATGGCTGGATTCAACAAGAGCCCGGAGGACTTTCATATTACCCGGACGGGTAAAGAAAACCAAGGACCACCGCTCGTATTCGGCTTGTACACCGGGAGGTGGACTATCCATGGTCATCCGGCAAATTAGCAAGGTTGAAAATTCAGGTACTCATGCACGTACACAACACGGTGAATGTTAGATTGCAGGATGCCTCCACTGAAAAGAGACAATGCATCTCCAACATTGCAAACTGCATGTCCAGGGATGGGCTATCAGTAGATGAGTGTCTGTTGCACATGCACGCGAGCATCAGACTCTTGCTCACTCGAATGTAGGACCACTCGTCATGGCCCGGGGGGAGCACTTGAAGTCCACCGAGGCGATTGTGCAAGAAGCTCTGGTAACGTTTGATTAAAAAGACATGGCCCGTGTGTCCAGATACCCACCAGACTACCGAAATCAGTATGAGCACCTAACACAGCGCTTTTCGTCGTTTCTTCAACCAGCACAGGAGGGCTGCGAATGCATCTAGCCTCACTACCACTGTACTCCTCCATGTCATGCAGTCTCTCCAAAGTCCCTTTCGGCAGTCCAAGCCTATCATTGAATATATTCAATACAACATATGTCACCTCGAGACCCTTGTGGACAAATGGTGCAATCGTGTTTTCCATGCGAGCATTTACGGTTGATGGGTAGGTACGGTGAATGACCTGCGGATATGCCAAAGCATCATCTTTAGAGACGTTTATGAATTCGACAGCGTCCAAGATTGCGCCTGTGTTTGCGTCAGTCCACTGCTCGTACATCAATATGGAAATCCCACCAGTTGCATCAATCGCATTGGCCCCTGCTTTCTTGTACCTAATAAGGAACCCGGGCCAGATAAGATGAGACGCGCTGAGTTACATAAATCAAAACGAACCCGAAAGATCGTCCGCTGTCTCCTTGCTCGAACTTCATACGTTCTTCGAGGGGCAGGGCCATCGTCTCAGCTCCCATATCAAACATGTCGCTAACTTCTTGGTCTGCGCCGTGATTCTTTAAACTGTTAGAGAGTTAGGTCTGACATACATTCAACAAATATGAATATGACGTACTACCAGAATCCGATAGTTGTCGCTGCCTCCCACAGTCGGTTTACTTCCTCCGCGTCTCCAGCTTTGATGAGCTCGTAATCAATAATCAAGAGTGGATGTGTTCGGACATCGTTCGGGAAAGGAGGAAGAGTACTTCCAGGCATGATGATGGAAAGATGTTAGAATGGTAGTATGAAAAAGGGATACTTGAACCGACTTTGAGTGGGGACAGCAAGGTACTGGAGAATGCTTTGAAGAGTAAGAGTTGTGGGAACTTACCGGCGACCTTTATAGGCTATACAATGTGGGGGTAGTACCTCATGCCGTGGCGCAATCACCACCTGACCTCTAACCTTGGTCATCATCGAATCGATGACCCAGCCGAGTGGCATATGTCCATCGTCTTTCTCCTTAGAAACGGAAAAATTCTTGTGAGAGTTAGTGTGCATTTAAGCTGGGAACCATCTCCGCGTTGTGACCAAAAGACTTACGGGAGTAAATATGGATCCACTTGAATTTGCATTTAGCTCCAGTAAACATTACCGGAGCTCGAGCAGAAGTTCTGCTACCTGTCAGCTGGTAGGACTATTGAACAAGAGTTAAAACTCCCCTTCAACATGCAGTAACTTACTAGTCGCACTAGTCTAAGCCTGAGGCAAAGACCCAACTACGAACCGATAAGAAATGGTAACGTGTTATGACGAGACAGTGACAGGAAATGGAAACATAACGAAATGCCAACAACGGGAGGACATGAATGGATCAGACAGGCGTTGTCCCGGTCGATACTGACTGTACTCAACGAGATTCACAGCTGCTGACAAGATAAAAGTACATGGTTGTTAGAAATATCTCAGAACGAAGCAATCATGATAATCTACATATCCGTGGAGTTTGGCTGATGTTGACTGATGTGCTTATCATTGTGAGAGAGTTGTCATCAAATCCTTGTTCCTTGGGATGAACCTGCACTTGAATGGTTTAGGCTGCCTTTGGGAGTGTAAGAATGCGTTTCAGGATCAGAGGGTCGAGTTACCAGAGTACACCAGCATCGTCGAACTCTACAGGAGGTGTGATCTCTTCACCTTTCTCATCAAGCGGTTTGGCGATCGTGAACACAGCAAGGATGCAAGCGATATTGAGGTACAAGGAGGCTTGAGCAAAATGCAGCCCTGAAATAACATGCGGTCGTTAGTTTCGGCCGGGATAGTGTCATGTAAATAATAGGCACCAGGGCATGCACGGCGCCCAAACCCAAAGATGAACTTGCGTGGGTCCAATTGTGGCGAGGGACCAAGGAAACGCTCAGGCCTGAACTCCAATGGGTCGGGATACATTTCTTTATCCCGTGACATGGCAAGAATGTTCGCGATGATAGTTGCACCCTTGGGAATGCGGTACCCTTTGTAGACGTCTTCCCTCATTGCGTGGTGCGGGAGCCCTGCGTCGCTGAGAGTGAGCGGGAACCAGGACAAAAAAGTCACGTGGCTGACCTTGCGGAACCACGGGTGCCCAGCGGAGGAGCTCTTGGATGAGCGCCCCGATGTACGGAAGCTTGTCTCTGTCCTTGAACGTGGGAAATTGGTCCTGACCTACGATGGCATCGATCTCTGCCTGAGCATGCTTCTGCACCTCGGGATAAAGCGCCATTGCCAGGACAAAAGACGTCAAGGATGATGATGTCTACTCATGCCAATGATTGTTTCAAAATTCACATGAGGGAAAGTGCAAAAGATATCTTACGGTGTCTACTCCCCCTGCATAGATCCCCAGACTGCACCACTTAGTGATCTCTTCGTGTTGGGCGCTGACCGTGGACCCATCCTCTGGAAGGAGCTGTTCTGAAACGAAGGAATGCGTGTAGCTGCCGCTGTGCTGATCGGCGATGAAAATTGGTTAGGATTCCGGATCATAGGAACTCGCAAGACTGCTTAGCAAGGCTTACTATTTGCTGTTTGGACCACTTAAATGGTATTGTGTCGATCCTACTTAACTTTTGCCCGAGGTCAAATGCTACACGCTTAAAACCTGCCCCTGGAAACCATGAAGGTAGGAAACGCACTCATGGAAGGTCGACTAGCTGAGTTTTATGATACCCGGAAATTGAAAAGAGGGCCTACATGATGGTATTGCTTCGACCAACCAACGTCCAGGCTGGGATAGTATGGCACTGATTGCGAAGCCTTCTTTCAGGATACCGATGAAATAATCATCATTCTCGGTGACCTTCCAACCATATGCGAGATAAAGGACAACGGCCGCTGAATTCCTACACCTTGGATGAGAAACGAGCAAAACAAGCAATCGCAAGAATTTTACCTTTTGATCTGATCGGCGAAATGTTCAGGGCTCTTGTGCAGACCATCAAGCAGGACACGAGATTGTTCGGTTTGCAGCGACTGGTAGCTTTGTATAGTGCGGGGACTCAGACTGGCTTTGAGGGCCGTGCGATACGTCTTGAAATACGGGTGAGTGAAAGATATGTTGAACGGGTTCAGGTTGCGCTTCGCAAGTTCTGTGTACATCCATATTTTTGGACGATCAGAATATGTAGTGGCACGTGAATCGAGCAATTCAGTAGCCGTTTGTAGGGAGCTGAGGACTATGAACTGCCGGTTAGGCACGCGGAAGGAGAATATGGGCCCTACGAGACATAGGTCAGAAGTGTCGTAGCGAAAATCGGACAATGTGCACCATAGCTTTCAGCCCACGTGGCATACATCAGCCAAGGCTCTTTCTTTGGCAGTTGATGAACATTTCCGGAAAAGAACTTTGGAGATGGCCCAGGGGGTAGTGGTAATCTACTGTGTCGACGACTGTAGAAGAAAACTGTGGCCAGTGCAGCCACGAAGAGGATGAGTATATCAGAAGACATGTAACAGATAATAGGTGGGTCAACTTTTTACCGATTGCGCTCTGAGTTCTTACTCATCACCATTGTCCTGAGTGGATGATATAAGCAATGAGCGCTGAGCTGTTACCGGTCAGTTTCTTACTCTGAAACACCGCATCACGGGAGCGGGGCCCCCTTAAGCTAGATATGAGATAAGTTACGGCGCGTCTAGTAATCGAATTTAAACTTACGTATCCTTTACTTATGAGTAGGGGAAACCCCGTGGATGCTATCCCTCGAGCTCCAGGCAATTTAGGAAATGGACTTCTGTTCCTAAAACATCAGCTGGCTGCCAGTGGCGTTGGGATGAACTCACACCTGGAACATGGATAAATCTAATGAGAAACCCCCTTACCTGGGGGGTACTTGCTTAGTCAGCAGAAACCCTTCTGACTTCACACATCAGAGAATCCAAAATCCAGACACGGACCTTTAAGTAGCCTTTGAGGCTCGCAGTACGAGCCTGATTTAGTTAGTGCTTAAAACGCGAGCTTTTAGTTCACACTACGCTGTTTTAGTCGTTATTGGACCCCAAATTAGTTTTATTAATGCTTGGTAACAAGATGCATGACTTTGAAAAGATTATCTAGTAGTAGTACATAGCGATAGCGAAGATTATCTGCAGATTATCGAAGCGATACGGATGTTATCTACTCATCGTCCAGATCAATGCACTCGCGACCCCCGCGTCACAATGAGTTGTTGCAGCATTTTGTACCTTGCTCTCAAAGCAGGATCTGCTCGAATCCTGTCAATCAATTCCAGGATTGAATTGTATATGTCGTAGAATTGTTTAGCCGAAGCATCGACGGAATCGAACCTGCCTGTGTGGTGAGCCTTCAGCGCATTGTGCACTGCAGCCCTGCCAAGGGCCATGGCGCTGTTGAGTTTAACCAGATCAATATACTCATGAAGTCCTTTCTGCCAGACAACGTGAATGATCATTTCAATAAAATAATCGGCCTCCAAAAGTCGACACTGTTCAATACCATCGTCATCCTGAGTTGAGTAAAATAAGTGCCTGCGACACGCGAAATCTGTGTAAAAACGTACCAACTCTAACTTGTGCACAAAGTTGAGATCTTTCAACAGTTCTGGGACGACCGTTGCCTTATGAGCAACCTCCTCGCCAGGTTGTGAGGAGATGGGTAAGCAGAGGCCCAGTGCTGTCTGAATGATGTTGGCCGCATAATCCCTGAACAATCGCCACACGTTCGACATGCAGGTGACAAGGTCCTCGCGAACACCCTTTTTGTCTTTGAATGATTTATATTTCACTTCAGAAAGCGTCAGTGAGTGGCATCATCAATGCATGGGGAAACTCACCTTGCCCGATCATAGAAATTCGAGCTTTCTTGAGCGCCTTGTTGATGACAGCCCCTCGTTGTTTTTGCGTCGCTGAAACTGCGACCCTCTCCTGCATCATCACACGACGCAGCTCCTCTTTTGCAGCGGATTTGATGGCCTGGATCATGGACTTATTGAGTTCCACGGCGAAGAGCGACTCAGGAACATCTGATGCTGCGGCTGGTGCAGGTGCAGGTGCAGATGGGGGTGGGGGTGCAGGTGCAGGTTCGGGAGCTGATGCTGCTGGTTGGGGTGCAGGTGCAGGTACCAGCGCCAATGCTGGGGTCGGAGGCAGGTGTCGGTCAACTGGGCACGTTCTGAGTCGACCAACACCTTGTGAAGTATGTAGCTCCTAAGTAATACTAAATATCAGTATGTAAAGAAAAAGAAAAGAGACGCTTGCATGAATAACACCTTGACTAAATTCCCTGCAAGAGAGTTCTCTCTCGCGGGGAATTGCAACACCAATAACTTGAGGACATGGTTCCGTGCGTGGGACATAAGCCTCACCGAGGGTCCCAGCGCATATGTCGCTGTATGCCATGACCACAAAGGTCAATGTCCTGATGCACAGGGCCAGCCTCTGCGCCTTTGTACAGCTGATCAAGGTCCTGATGCACAGGGCCAGCCTCTGCACCTTCATATGGCTGGTCTTGAGGTGGCGGCTGGAAGTTCCCCTGCAATAGTTGGTCTTGCGGAGGGTATTCATCCTGCTGGTATTGGTCTTGTGGTGGTGGGTGGTACTCATTTTGTGGAGGCGGGTGGTATTCGTGTTGTGGGGGCGGGTGGTACTCGTTCTGTGGGGGCAGGTGGTACTCATTTTGTGGGGGCAGGTGGTATTCGTGTTGCGGCGGCAGGTGGTACTCATTCTGTGGGGATGGGCGGTACTCGTTCTGTGGGGGGCGGGTGGTACTCGTTTTGAGGGGGCGGGTGGTATTTGTGTTGGCGGCGGCGGGTAGTATTTGTGTTGTGGCAGCTCATGGTTGCCCCCCATTGAGTAATCCTGCTGCTGTGAATGTTGAAATGGCGGTTGTGGGTGTAGTTGAAGATCTGGTTGGAAGGGAGGTTGCGGATGCTGATGAAATTGAAGATCTGGTTGGTAGGGAGGTTGTGGATGCGGATGGAATTCAGGATCTGTTTGGAAGGGAGGCCAGAACTCATTGGGATCCATGTTGGGGGGGGGGGCAATGTGCAGACTCGGTGAGGGCGAGGAATGATAGCTGTGTGCTAGGGAGAAGAGTGGGAAGTGGGCTCTCAAGTGCTCCTCTGGATACGAGTGGAAAGTCGTCCCAAGGGGATTGCTACTGAGAAAGATTCCTCTAGTGAAAGGTGAGGGGGATCTATAACCAGTGGTTCAGTCTCGAAGCCTGAATGGGACTCTGAGGCAAATAATGCACCCAAAAGCGAAGTGCACTAGCTAAAGGCGCCTAAACGTGCTAATAAGGCGGAAAGTGCGGAAAAGCGCACTTCATGCGATCACAACGGAGTGCTTCGAGTAGAGGTGGCAATAAATGGGGGGAATCAAGACTTTGATAGACGTGGAAGTAGACACTTAAGGTGTCAAAGCGCCAATAGGAAGGAAACCGGTGTATTCTGATAGAAACTTGAGCTATACACTTCAATGGTAGTGGAGCGGAAGTAAGTGACAGGAAAACAAACGTGGTGACGTGTAGGTATGCTAAGCGAGTTCCCACGGCTCGGAGCCGAATAGGAAGTACTAAGGTAAATGGTGAGGTAAGACAGGGTCCATAACGAGATATGATGATAAGTACTAGTGCCTGCGTGACGGAGTATGAGTTCTGAAGAAGGGAAAATGCACCAATGGACCTTGGAGGACTAGGACAGGACATGCGGAGGACAGGTGACGGATCCTAAGGAAATGCGACAAAGTGCACCATAACGCACTCGAACGCACTCGAATGTGCTGGTACACGCCAAAGCGCGCTGTAGAGACTCACGTTTCTGTGGGCTCATATGGGCTCATTTTACGAATTCTGATGACTGGCCTTTACTGCACAACTTGCACCATCATCCACTATGACTTCCACCATCATGCGCACCACTTCCTGCAAAACGCGCCATAGGCGCGACACTTTCCCGCACAATGCGCAGTATTCCCGCGTGCGCGCCTTGCGCGCTTTCTCGCGCTTAAGCGCACTATGTCGCACAGCATCCAGGAGCATCCATCCATCGTCCAACCAGTCCCTCGGTATGTCCCTTTTCGTTATCTGACCATATTTAGCATATTACACTTCCCGTTTCGTTATGCACCCTTACTTTACATCACCTTACCTCATTTACATACTTAGAGCGCTCCCTATTCGGCTCTGAGCCCTGGGAGAGCGCTTAGGTAGAACTTACATACTCTCATGTTCGTTTACACCCCACTTACACACCCAACTATTCCACCTTACCTTCCTACCACTCAGTATCTATCACCAGTTAGTTCCATGCAATGCATGTGTCAATCATCGTTTTGAGGCCCTAGCATCAGTCTATAGCTAGTGGGCACTATCAGTATCCGTCTAGATCTGCACTTTTCCTCTTATCAGTCCCAGTATCCGTCTTCTACACTTGTGCACTGCTTGCACTACCTTCCCGCGCTCCATGCACCTTCGCACTTCACTTTCCCGCGCGCGCCTTCAGCGCATTTCTCGCGCTTTCACCGCCATTCACCAGGGTTGTTCAGCATCATTCCGTGGATCCTTGCTTTCCTTGCTTCCCCTTTAGGGTCGAACGTTCTTGCATTCTGCGAGTATAGCAGCTAGGCAGAGCTGAGACTCACTTATACTGGTTGAGCACTTTTCTTATATGTGCCTGCCAGGTTGTGATACCCACAGCGCGTTGCGCGGAAGTCATATGAGAAGCGTGTTGCAAGGATATCGAGTGCATCATGAAAAGGCGTGAATTTGGCCCATATGAGCCTGGAGAAACGTGAGTCTCTACATCGGGTGATTGTGGGCGGTCTTGAGGCAGACCTAGTTGGGTTGTGATGTTGCGCCCTGAGGCGTTGAGTGATGAATTCTTTTTTGGTCGTGGCAGCGCCTAAATCGTGTCAGGAGCGTTTAAGAATTCGATGTTGGAGGGGACTGACCTTTTGTTTGGCGGATGTCCTTCGTGGTTGAGAGGCTGTCCGTCGCGGGGCCATGGGATCTTACTTACTAGTAGTTTCCAATCATTTACTTACCCAATGGAGGATATATTCAAGCAAAAAGAACCGTACATGATGAGTATAAATCGGAAAGATCATACATAAGTCTACAGCGCATTCGACATAAGCGGAAAATGCAGAAAACTCGTGGGGATGCTGAGGTACAATGAGATAAAGTGGTGCACAGCGATTGAATTGGAAGCAGGGTATTGAATTGGAGGCAATAGGAGGCGATATAGAATGAATGAGGCAATAGGGGGCAATAAGGATTGAATGGCTCTGTATCAAATTGACTGTACATGTGTCGTTAATAAAACAAAGAAGAGGAAAAATGGGGGAAACAGCAATGTACCCTCCTATTCATTCGCTCCATAAATGAGGTCATCCGACCCCCCATCACTGTGGGAGCCTGAGGAGTAGGAATCATCATCTGCCTCGAGTTCATTGGGAGAAAGTTCCATGTCGCTGCTGTTAGCGAATGGGGCAACACACTTCCTCCCTTGAGCCGAAAACTGTCTATACTGTGCATCAGCGACATCGAGATCATCCAGTTCTTCTGCGAAAATTGCCTTGAATATTGTTGATCATCTTGTAAAGCAGGGAGTCCTCGCTCACAGACAAGCTGCCTGAAGAACTCCATTTCGGTCTCTGCAATCTTAAGCTCTGCTTCCTGCTCTTTCCGGAGTGACTGCATGAACACCTTCTGCCTCTCAATCAACTCAAGTTTCCAGGTCATGTGGATGACTGCATGCTTCTTGTCCTGAGCTGACGCCTGTTTGACTAAAGCAGTGTAGAGACTCGCGTTTCTGCAGGCACATATGGGCACATTTGCACCTTTTCACAACTCATGACAATTGGCCTTCAATGCACGACTCGCACCATCAGCTATATTCGACTTCTATCATGTCCCTAGTCGTTTTACACACAATGTGCAGCTTTCCCGCGAAACGCGCCATAGGCGCGGTACTTTCCTGCACAACGCACAGCATTCCCACACGCACACCTTGCGCACTTTCTCGCGCTTAAGCGCCCTGCAAGCGCCCTGCATTGCCCTCATCGCCTATCATCCAGGAATGTCCCTCTATGTCCACCCACCTCATTGGTACGTCATATCCCTTGCCTCGTGGTTTGTAACAAGCATTGCAGCGCTATTACATGTCATTACGTATTCATAGCGCTTATTGCTCCTATCCCTTCCGCTTCCGATGCGATTTCCATAGTATAAAGTTGCTGACTTACTACATCATCATTATTACTCCCCTTTGCTGTACTTCCCTCACTATTGGGTTTTACCTTAGAGTAGTAGTCACCACTTGGGCGCACTTTGTGTTTCCAATGGTTATCGTTATCTGCCTATACTAGACCTTTATCCGCGCTTGTTATAACACTCGCTCTGCGTTTGCACTCGCTTTGCACATCCGCTTCCTTATCTGTTTCCTCATCCGGTATTTTCCGCACAACGCGCGCCTTAGCGCTCATGTTCCCATGCTCGCGCTTACCTTAGTGCGCTCTCTCGCGCTTCGCGCTCACTTTGCTTTTCTTCTTGCGCTTTCGCGCATCCATCGCACTTCAAGGGTCTTTCATTCATCTGGTTCTGTGTTCAGTAGCAGTCCCCTTTAGGGTCGAACGTTCTTGCATTCTGTGAGTATAGCAGCTAGGCAGAGCCAAGACTCACTTATACTGGTTGAGCATTTTTAGGTATTTCATATCAGCCCAGCCAGGTTGAGATCGCCTCAGCGGTGTAGAGACTCGCATTTCTGTGGGCTCATATGGGCTCATTTTACAAATTCTGACAACTGGCCTTCATGGCACAACTCGCACCATCATCCACTATGACTTCCCTATAGAGCGCACCACTTTCCCGCGAAATGCGCCATAGGCGCGCTACTTTCCCACACAATGCGCAGCATTCCCGCGCGTGTTTCTCTCGCACTTGTTGCCCTACTCCATACGCAACTTCTGCTATGTCTCCAGTCATTGCGCATACAATGCACAGCTCTCCTGCAAAATGCGCCATAGGCGCAACACTTTCTCACGCTTTCGCGTTTCGCATTCCCGTGCGCGCGCTTAGCGCGTTTCTCGCGCTTAAGCACACTCCATCGCGCATCATCCAGGAGCATCCATCCATCGTCCAACCAGTTCCTAGGTGTGTCCCTTTTCATTATCAGACCATATTTAGCCTATTACACTTTGTATTTCGTTATGCACCCTTACTTTACATCATTTTTACCTCACTTATCTACTAAGAGCACTCCCTATTCAGCTCCGAGCCCTGGGAGAGCGCTTAGGTAGAACTTACATACTTTCATGTTCGTTTTACACCACCAGCTTCCTACCACTGAGATCTTTCTACCACCATGTACTTGGCAGTTAGTTCCATGCAATGCATGCATCCATCGTCGTCTCAAGGCCCTAGCATCAGTCTAAAGCTAGTGGCAGTATCAGTATCCATCTATATCCGCGCTTTTCACCATATTATCGTCTCTCTACACTTGTCCACTGCTCGCACTACCATCCCTGTCCTCCGTGCATTTTCGCATTTTCGCCTTCCCACGCTTCGCACATTTTCGTGTTTCACTTTCCCGCGCGCACCTTCAGCGCATTTCTTGCGCTTACATTGCCTTTTGTCGCCTTTGATCAGGGTTTGATCAGCATCATTCCGTGGATCCTTGCTTTCCTTGCTTCCCCTTTAGGGTCGAACGTTCTTGCATTCTGCGAGTATAGCAGCTAGGCAGAGCTTAGACTCACTTATACTGGTTGAGCACTTTTATTTCTTAGTGCCTAGCCAGGTTGTGATCCGCACAGCGGCCTTGCGGAAAGTACTGTTGGATAGATGAGATAAGCCTTTTTGGAGTAGCTCCCTACCCTAGATCTTTGTTTAAGTAAAATCTGTCGAGTGGGAAGTGAGGTAATTACCTCACGCAAGTCTTGCTGGGAGAAATCTTTGTGTGAAGACTGCATAATGTGCCTCTTCGCAAAGGCAATCTCATATGGGGGAGAATTATAAACAAGGTGTGGCTTATATTGAGCATGGATCTTCTCCCAAAAACACTGAAGATGGTCCTGCCTCTGAAGACGGTCTTGCTTTACTAAAGTACCAGGATGATTGACGATATGTCCACCAGTGGGACGGCTCATGCATTGAGCTTACTTCCAAGGGAGTGGAACTACATATGTCTGACTCTACTGATCCGAAAGACATAAGAGGGGACATAGGGGACATTTACTTGGAACCAGAGAACACCAAAGATGATGCTACTTCCACTTGAGTTGAAGCTGTAGTCTCAGAGTCGGACAGAGGAGGGGGAGTTATCTGAGTGTTAGGTGTGTCCATGTCTGCGGCTAAAGATGAGTGACTTTCTAGAGATGAGTGATTTTAGAGACTTGTCAAAGCTCAAGGACGGAGAGTATACTACAACTTGAGGGATATCGCTATGAGCAAAAGGTGCCAAAGTGGAGTTTGAAGGACTTAGCAGTTTTTTCTGTGCTGTTTGTTGGCAGTCACTGGCAAGCAGGTGTAAGTCTGCATTCTCTCAATGGAGGCCAGCAACCATCATGATGGGGCCCATGACGGGCCATTCGTTGTAGATGCCCATTTGTGAGCTTTTACTACATTCTGGAATTGAAACTTTAGTAACCACACTAGATCATCTATTGCAAAATGCCCCCAGTGTCAGATCGATTTGCCTTCTACTGATGCAGTGTTAGAACACCTCCAGACAACAAATGGCTACTGGCCTCGGGTATAGGATTGCCATATTCCTGTCCCACCTGCCTTCCTTTGGTCTACTTCTGAAGCAGGAAAAGATTGCGTCTTTGGGCAATACCACCCATCTTCTGGCTATATATTTGGAAAGATGCCAAACATCCTCGAGGCAATGGAAAATGACCAGTATGCTTACCGCCGACGTCATGCTCCATTCTATCCCTTTCAAGACCAGGCAGAATTTGAGCTTGGAAAATTCCTTTGTGAATGCTTAACGCAAAGTGACATGGAGCGATTTCTGAAGCTGGAATGGGTTTGTCTGAAGTTAGAGAATATGGGCTAGTGTACTGACCTTGAGTTGACAGGTATGCTGAGCTAATCCGTCGTTTAGCTCCAAAGACCAGCTACTTGCATGGGTAGCTTCACTTCCAACTGGACCAAAATGGCGTTCAACAACACTCGAAATAACCAGGTACCCAACTGTCCAACCGATAAACCTCATCTGGCGCAATGGATTAGAGGTAGTGCAAGATCTCTTCGCAAATCCAATTTTTGTGAACCACATGACATATGACCCGCACATCATAGTCGATGGTGACGAACGCGAATACAATGAATATTTTACGGCCCAACAAGCATTCAAAATTCAGGTAAGTTCATTATATCATTCACAGTAGTTTACTGATGACTTCGGTGCAGGATCAGCTTCCCAAGGGCGCTACCATTGTTCCGATGATCATTGCATCTGACAAGACACCTGTGACGCAGCATACTGGAGGACTTGAAATGCACCCCATTTTTGTCACCATCGGCAACATTCAGTCTGACGTGCGGATGAGAGCAACATGTCATGCCTGGCGATGTGTCGCATACATGCCGATTCCCAAATTTGTTGATGTGCATCCTGACTACCAAACCATTCTAAGCCAGCGGCTATTCCACAAGTGCATGGACATCATCTTTGCAGACGTTAAGGTCGCAGCCATGGTGGGCAAGTTCATGCCCGATCCAGCTGGCCATGTAGGATACTGCTTCACACCTTTGGTCGCATACACTGTGGATTTGCCAGAACAGCAAGCCATCACATGTGTCTCAAAGGTCGCTTCTCCTATCATGTTGGCCACGTCTCAATCTTTTGGTGACACTTATCGCCATCCACCATGCATGAAAGAACATACACTTGTGGTGATATACAACATCTTTCAATGCATCAATCCATTGAGGTTGCGAGAATTCCAGGAGGAAGCCAAGGCTCATTCGTTAAGCGGTGTTCACCAGCCTTTTTGGCGGAACTGGTGACGCTCAGATCCTTCTCGCTTTCTGGTAGGGGAAATTTTTCACACCGGCCATAAAATTTTCTTTGACCACCTGTTCAAGTGGTGCAAAGAATCGGTGGGGAAGGACAAACTCAATATCCATTTCTGAAGTCACCACAAGAGAGTAGGAACACGCCATTTTTCATCTGGAGTGTGTCAGATGAAATGAATGACTGGCTGGTGAGGCGATCTCAACCTGGCTGGGCTGATATGAAATACCTAAAAATGCTCAACCAGTATAAGTGAGTCTTGGCTCTGCCTAGCTGCTATACTCACAGAATGCAAGAACGTTCGACCCTAAAGGGGACTGCTACTGAACACAGAACCAGATGAATGAAAGACCCTTGAAGTGCGATGGATGCGCGAAAGCGCAAGAAGAAAAGCAAAGTGAGCGCGAAGCGCGAGAGAGCGCACTAAGGTAAGCGCGAGCATGGGAACATGAGCGCTAAGGCGCGCGTTGTGCGGAAAATACCGGATGAGGAAACAGATAAGGAAGCGGATGTGCAAAGCGAGTGCAAACGCAGAGCGAGTGTTATAACAAGCGCGGATAAAGGTCTAGTATAGGCAGATAACGATAACCATTGGAAACACAAAGTGCGCCCAAGTGGTGACTACTACTCTAAGGTAAAACCCAATAGTGAGGGAAGTACAGCAAAGGGGAGTAATAATGATGATGTAGTAAGTCAGCAACTTTATACTATGGAAATCGCATCGGAAGCGGAAGGGATAGGAGCAATAAGCGCTATGAATACGTAATGACATGTAATAGCGCTGCAATGCTTGTTACAAACCACGAGGCAAGGGATATGACGTACCAATGAGGTGGGTGGACATAGAGGGACATTCCTGGATGATAGGCGATGCAGGGCACTTAAGCGCGAGAAAGTGCGCAAGGTGCACGTGTGGGAATGCTGCGCGTTGTGCGGGAAAGTGCCGCGCCTATGGCGCGTTTCACGGGAAAGCTGCGCGTTATGTGTAAAATGACTAGGGACATGATAGAAGTCGAATATAGCTGATGGTGTGAGTCGTGCATTGAAGGCCAATTGTCATGAGTTGTGAAAAGGTGCAAAATGTGCCCATATGTGCCTGCAGAAACGCGAGTCTCTACACCGGGAACATCGGGACTTGCAATGCACCTTGGTTCCTTCTATCGCCGGGATCGTCCCCCCCAGTTTGTCCATGTGATTCGTGCTTTGATTGATTTCATCTACAAGGCCCAAAGCCCTGTTTATTCTGACACCTTTGTTGATTCTATGGTCGCCTCGCTTGAAGAGTTTCATAATCACAAGCATGCAATATTGGATGCAGGTGCGAGACGAGGCACCAAAGGAACACTCGATAACTTTATCATTCCAAAGCTTGAGCTTTTGCAGAGTTTCGCTTCGTTCACCAAGGACACCGGCACCCTCATCCAATGGACTGCTGACATCACTGAGCGTCTTCTCATTACTCACTGTAAACTCCCCTTTGAGAGGACATCCAACCAGTCACGGACCTTCACGGAACAAATCATTGACATTCTCAACCGTGAGGAGTCGCTGTGGCGATTCCAGTTGTACCTGTTCCTACGGATGCACGACTCCCCCCTTGCCAATGCCATCGTCACGGAAGAGCAAGAGGTCACTGAAACTGACCCTGCTCTTGCGTGGATCACCTGTGTCGCACCTAATGATCTGAATCAACGGTGTTTTGTCGGGCTGCATCCAGTTCAAAATCATTTTTTGAAAGGTATCCTGTCTTCCACTGCTACAGTTGCCTTCCATGTTACCGTCACTCCTGATCGAGCCAAGATGTCTCTTGATAAAATCCAGCAGCTTTACGCATTGCCAGATTTTGGACAAGCGTTTTCTGATTATAATGTGAAGGCTTCTGGTGGTCAATTCACGACAACATGGAGCCGTGATCGTGGTCGCCTCAAGATGTGGAATAAGTTTTGCTTACAGCTGCATTCTGTTTTTCACTTGCGGATGATCATGCCTAGTCAAGTCATGCAGGCTGCCCCACTGTCAGAAAAGTTTCCTCTGGGAAATTGTGATGCTGTGATTATGCAGTCGATACAGGGCGACCAGACTGGTAAATGATGTTTATTTTATCTTGGCTGCCCGTTACTGATTGTGCATTACACAGTAAATCTTGTTGCTCAAGTCCGGGCAGTCTTCCAGCCCATTGCACCTCGCCATGTCACACTTCCCCACTACCTTGCAGACCAACTGCTCCTCTATGTGCAGTATTATGAGATTGTTGACAATCCAGCCAATCAACCTGCCATCAGTATGTATACGGTTGCTCGAAAATATCGCGAAGGGCCCACAGGCCAGCGGATGAGATTGGGTGCAGTCATTTCTCTCACAGATGTCACGCATGTGGTAGAGCTAATCCCTGTGTACGGTAAAGGCGCTGACCAGTACGGTGAGTGCAGCGACGAGTATGGAGGTATACGAGCATTTTTACCTAAACAATTTCTCAGACAAGGAGGTGTATCATTCATTGCACTCAGATTTACATTAGTTACATTCTTTGTTATGATCTCAGCTTGCAATTTAACTGCACCGTGTTCTCTATTTTTTTATCAATCTTATCTCAGATAAAATCAAGCCTGTCATCTTTTATCTTCAGTGAGATGGGATAGATTATCATTGATCAAACAGTTGGTTCTCCATCTCTCGTAAGTTCAGAGTGGCGATAATAAAATAAATAACATCGAGAGCATCTCCACCAATCACATGAGTGCACTACTGAGGTTGTAAGCGTTTGTAAGTGTCCGTAACGCGTGTAAGTTAAGTGTTCATTTCAGTGGTTTTGCAGATGCATATCCTGGCAGGGTTTCTCACAGCCAGAGCCGCTGCCACACTCAGGCTACAGACTCAACCAGCGCTGAACTGCCGAAAACACTGATGTACTTCAGTTTTCGGAACTACAGTACTCCCCACATTATTCCCACACATCACATGTTCGCATTTTTCAGCCCCACAGTGTGGGAATTACCCCACAACACCAAAAACATCGCCAAATATGGTATACCTCACAATTATAATTATTCCCACACCCTCCCCACCTCACATCTAAAAATGTGGATTTGCTGAAAAGCCGCTCACAAAGTGCTTGCGAGCATTTTAAATGTGGTTAGATCAGGTATGGTGTCTGTAACCGTTCATTTTTGGTTATGTTAGATCCTGACCGCTCATTTTTGGTTATGTTGGACCCTGACATCGGCTTGTGTGCAAGCTGACGTCGTATTGCTTCAATTATCAACATCTAGTAGTACTGATTGGCATCCGATAAGATAATGTTGATTATATAAGTATACTACAACTCAATTGAACAAGCTATATATTAGTAGATTACTCAGAATCGGACGACGTATCTCCAACACCTGCCTGCGAGGGTCCAATATCCAACATGAACTGCAAATAATTATTAAACTCGATTCTTTCCTCACTGGTGAGGCCATTCAAAGCTGCTATGATCTCTTTGAACTTCTGCTCGTGATGTGTCCCACCAAAGGGATTGACGGTGATAACAGCCATTTGCTGTTCCTGCAATGCGCAGTGGGTAGCAGAGCCAACCAAGGCCATCACATTTTTGAGGGCCTTCAGTGGCTTAGCACCGAGAAAGGCTTTGCGTCCCCTGTGCCATACAAAATGAACAACACCAGCCATGATAAACGCATTTTGGAACCTTGCGATGACTATGATATTCCCGTACTGAAAACAAGTAGTTAGTAAAGTGTTAGAAGTGTGAAATCAACTTACATCGTCCACCAAATATGCGTGCATAAACAGTAAGGGATCAGCACCCCGGATTAGTGTGTCTACCCTCGTAATGCGATGACTTTCAGCTGCTGCTGCAGTGCTCCCTTGTGGTGGAAACAACTTGTAAAATACAAACACGCTGTCGTGCGCAAATTGTGCCATTTTCCCACGTACGTTGGATAATGCGTTCGACACCTTTCTCTGGTATGTTAGTTATAAAATTTTGCATGATGACTACAAATATCAACATAACAATATGAAACATTTGAGCGAAAAACTTACCATCGACTTTGAGGCACTGAGGTGTTGAATCCTTTATCATGTCCTTGAATTGCTTGGTACATTTTACCTGGTTCTGCGTCATCGTGTGCTTCATAAATACCACCTGCGCAATTAAGATTTTGAGCCCCTTCAGTGACAAATCCCGTATTATACGGGTCACCCGACCTACATAATATCCCGTGTAATACGGGCCAGCGGATTATGGGCCGATGTTATGTATATTCCCGATGTTGACGGGTGGGCCGGGAGGCATATTATTTCCAATGGAGACGGGTGGGCCCATCTATGCTAATGTTATATATATCATCGATGATAGCGGATGGGCCGGGAGAAATATTATTATGGAGATGGGTGGGCCCATGTGGGTAATATGTAGAGTAGGATTGACATATATTATAGACCTGAGGAGAGATGTATAGCAAATAGTATTATATAGACGTGTGGGCCGACGTATTAGTATTATTTTGTAGACGGATGGGCCGAGGGAGCGGTGAAATATTTATTAGATAGACGGGTGGGCCGACGTGGGGTAATATCAGATAGACGGGTGGGCCGAGGGTGAGGGGAATTATTTATTACATAGACGGGTTGGCTGATGTGGGGTAATATTAGATAGACGGGTGGGCTGAGGGTGAGGTGAGTTATTTATTAGATAGACGGGTGGGTCGACGTGGGGTAATATCAGATAGACGGGTGGGCCGAGGGTGAGTGGAATTATTTATTACATAGACGGGTGGGCCGACGTGGGGTCATATTAGATAGACGGGTGGGCCGACGTGGGGAATTCTACATAGATGGGTGGGCCGACGTCGGGTAATATTAGATAGACGGGTGGGCCGAGGGTGAGCGGAATTATTTATTACATAGACGGGTGGGCCGACGTGGGGTCATATTAGATAGAAGGGTGGGCCGACGTGGGGAATTCTACATAGATGGGTGGGCCGACGTCGGGTAATATTAGATAGACAGGTGGGCCAAGGGTGAGGTGAATTATGTATTAGATAGACGGGTGGGCCCAGATACATATCATATAGACAGATAGGCCTAGGTATTGTACATTTTTACGAGTTTCGAGGCTCGAGTTAAGAAAATTCAAATTTAAGATGATATACATTTTTGTTGTCTTGAAATACCGAGACCCAAGACCCGAGATTCGGCACTCGGTAGTCGGTGAAATGAGTACAGAAATACATAAGATAATACACATTGTTCTCAGAAATCACAAGTTTCAAATGTCGATTTGTAAATCACGAGTCACAAGTCTCGAGACTCGAATCACCGAGTACCGAGTACTGAGAACCGAGTATTGACACCCGACACCCGGAATTCGGCACTCGGCATGCGAGACAAAAGATTGGAAACAAAACTCAAAATTCGAAACTTGAAAGTACTGACTACCGAATACCAAGTACCGAGTACTGAATCTCGGGTCTCGGTACTCGGTATTCGGTACTCGACACGATGCTCGAAACTCGTAAAACTGTTTCAAATCACTGAGTACTGACCACCAAGTACCGAGTACCGAATCTCGGGTCTCGGTACTCGACACAATGCTCAAAACTCGTACAACTGTTTCGAATCACCGAGTACTGACTACCGAGTGCCGAGACCCGAGATTCGGTACTCAGTACTCGGTAGTCAGTACTCGGTGATTCGAAACAGTTTTATGAGTTTTGAGCATCGTGTCGAGTACCGAATACCGAGTACCGAGACCCGAGATTCGGTACTCGGTTGATTCGAAACAGTTTTATGAGTTTCGAGCATCGTGTCGAGTACCGAGTCCTGAGTACCGAATCTCGGGTCTCGGCACTCGGTAGTCAGTACTTGGTGATTCGAAACAGTTTTACGAGTTTTGAGCATCGTGTCGAGTACCGAATACCGAGTACCGAGACCCGAGATTCGGTACTCGGTACTCGGTACTCGGTACTCGGTAGTCAGTACTCGGTGATTCGAAACAGTTTTATGAGTTTCGAGCATCGTGTCGAGTACCGAATACCGAGTACCGAGACCCGAGATTCAGTACTCGGTACTTGGTATTCGGTAGTCAGTACTTTCGAGTTTCGAATTTTGAGTTTTGTTTCCAATCTTTTGTCTCGCATTGAGATATGAGCAAAATACTATATACCGGGTGAATTTCAGTATTGGAAGTTTGATGCTTTCGATGTTTTTGATGTCGGGTCTTGATGCTTTCGGGCATTAACATGTAGATAGCCCTCGATCTCAGGGGTGTGGCAAAATTTAGATTGTCTGAAACAGATATAATTTGAGTGAGATATATGCAAAATACCACACACTGACTACCGAGGGCTGAGTACCAAGTGCCGAGTGCTGAGTGCCGAGTTCCGAGTTCCGAGTTCCGAGTGCCAAGTACCCCGATGCTCTCGGGTATTAACACCCAGATAGCCCACGCTCTCAGGTGCCTGTCAGAATTTAGATCATCTCAAACGGATGTGATTTGAGTGAGATATGAGCAAAATACTATATACCAGTTGAATTTTGGCATCAGAAGTTCGATGCTTTCGATGTTTTTGATGTCGGCTCTCGATGCTTTCAGGCATTGACATGCAGATAGCCCTAGATCTCAGGGATTCATCAGAATTTAGAAAGTCTTAAATAGATATGATTTGAGTGAGATATATGCACAATCCAAGATACAGGGTGAATGAGTCCCAAGTGTTGAGCGCCAAGTGCTCAGTTCTGAGTTCCGAGTGCCGAGTGCTGAGTGCCGAGTGCTGAGTGCCCCGATGCGTTCAGGCATTCAGTCACTGTCAGGAGGTGTTCCCTCATCCACCTCAGTGCCATCAGTGTTGCAATCAAGCTTTCTGCCGTGTGCTGAGTGCCGAGTTCCGAGTTCCGAGTGCCCCGATGCTTTCGGGTATTGACACCCAGATAGCCGTCACTCTCAAGGGCCCGTCAGAATTTAGATCATCTCAAACGGATGTGATTTGAGTGAGATATGAACAGAATACTATATACCGGGTGAATGTTGGCATCAGAAGTTCAATGCTTTCGATGTTATTGATGTCGGGTCTCGATGCTTTCGGGCATTGACATGTAGATAGCCCTCGATCTCAGGGGTGTGGCAAAATTTAGATTGTCTGAAACAGATATAATTTGAGTGAGATATATGCAAAATACCACACACTGACTACCGAGTGCTGAGTACCAAGTGCCAAGTGCCGAGTTCCGAGTGCCGAGTGCCCCGATGCTTTCGGGTATTAACACCCAGATAGCCCTCGCTCTCAGGGGCCTGTCAGAATTTAGATCATCTCAAACAGATGTGATTTGAGTGAGATATGAATAAAATACTATATACCGGGTGAATTTCAGCATTGGAAGTTTGATGCTTTCGATGTTTTTGATGTCGGGTCTTGATGCTTTCGGGCATTAACATGTAGATAGCCCTTGATCTCAGGGGTGTGGCAGAATTCACATTGTCTCAAACGGATATAATTTGAGTGAGATATATGCAAAATACCACACACTGACTACCGAGTGCTGAGTGCCAAGTGCCAAGTGCCGAGAACTGAGTTCTGAGTGCCGAGTGCCGAGTGCCCCGATGCTTTCGGGTATTAACACCCAGATAGCCCTCACACTCAGGGGCCCATCAGAATTTAGATCATCTCAAACAGATGTGATTTGAGTGAGATATGAACAAAATTCTATATACCGGGTGAATTTCAAGTGAGATATATGCAAATACTATATATTGACTACTGAGTGCTGAGTACCAAGTGCTGAGTGCCAAGTGCAGAGTGCCCTGATGCTTTCGGGCATTAACACCCAGATAGCCCATGCTCTCAGGGGCCCATCAGAATTTAGATCATCTCAAACAGATGTGATTTAATGAGTCCCAAGTGCTGAGTGCCGAGTCCCAAGTGCCGAGTGCCGAGTTCCGAGTTCCGAGTGCCCCGATGCTTTCGGGTATTAACACCCAGATCACCCTCACTCTCAAGGGCCTGTCAGAATTTAGATCATCTCAAACGGATGTGATTTGAGCGAGATATGAACAAAATACTATATACCGGGTGAATTTTGGCATCAGAAGTTCAATGCTTTCGATGTTTTTGATGTCGGGTCTCAATGCTTTTGGGTATTGACATGTAGATAGCCCTCGATCTCAGGGGTGTGGTAAAATTCAGATTGTCTGAAACAGATATAATTTGAGTGAGATATATGCAAAATCCCATATACTGACTACCAAGTGCTGAGTACCAAGTGCCGTGTGCTGAGTGCCAAGTGCTTTCCGAGTGCTGAGTGTCCCGATGCTTTCGGGCATTACCACCCAGATAGCCCTTGCTCTCAGGGGTCCATCAGAATTTTGATTATCTCAAACAGATGTGATTTGAGTGAGATAGGAGCAAAATACTATATATCAGGTGAATTTCAGCATTGGAAGTTCAATGCTTTCAATGATTTTGATGTCGGGCCTCAATGCTTTCAGGCATTGATATGCAGATAGCCTTCACTCTCAGGGGTCCTTCAGAATTTGGATCATATTTTCGCATCAGGAGTTTGATGCTTTCAATGATTTCAATGTGAGGCCTAGATGACTGTGTTCATTGACATGTGGATAGCCCTTAATGTCAGGAGTTCACAGAATTCATATGGCCTCACATGGACATATGAGGTAATGTAGGACATTCTCAACACATCAGGAGACACATAAAAACACATCATAAGGCACTACATCATGTCTTCAATAGTCATACCTATGTGTAGTATGATAGTGTGATCTTTAATATACTGTTCAGGCTGACACTCATCAAGTATCACAGGTCTATTGTACAGACTTAGAATAAAATACAGTAGTCTTAACTTGATAGTCATTACATGATAGTCTTCACTTGATAGTCTAATATGATTGTTGATTACTACATAATACATAAGCTGTGAGGGTTAGGATTATTATGGAAGATATGACAGTCATGGTTATTAAGAAAGCTTATATTATGCCTAGCAAGTTAAGACTATTGAGTTAAGACACTCATATCCTTAGTCTAGTAAGCACTGTCAAAGCTTGTGACCTTCTGGTAACCGTGTGGCAAAATCATATTTTGCTGATGTATATATCTTGTGATTGTAACTTTCTTGCACCAGTGCACAGTGATTGCCTTGAATTTCGAGTTTTTTTGTATTTAGAGATACATACCACTGACAGATACTGTTTCAGGGACTGGAACAGTATACTGGAAGCCAATCTATCATATTATACATAGGTGTGATCATAGCAAACCTGATGCAGTCCCTGATGATGTGTTTTTATGTTTCTCCTGATGTTTTAGAATTTTTCCCACACAAGGCTGACAACAAAAACATTGAACCTGCGAAGCTCAGACACACCCAATAAATTGTATTTTGCTCATATCTCCCTCAAATCATGTCTGTTTGAGGCAAAATATGATCCCCAACATCCCTTCGATAGTATATGCAATATATAAGGATACTAGGACAACAGGATTTATTCCTGTTGTGCTATGTGCTTACCCTTGGTGCAAGGCCTGACATCAAAATCACCTGATATATAATATTTTGCTCATATCTCACTCAAGTCTTATCCGTGTGAGACGATCTGAATTGTGACAGGCCTCTGAGATCAAGTTCTATCTGCTTGTGAATGCCTGAATGCATTGAGGCTAGACATTGCAAACATAGAAAGCATTGACCTTACAATGCTGAAATACACACAGTATATGGGATTTTGCTCATATCTCACTCAACTCTTATCCATTTGGGATGGGCTAAATTCTGCCAGACCCGTGAGATCTAGGGCTATCTGCATGTCAATGCCTGAAGGCATCGAGGCTTGATATCAATAACATCAAAAGCATCAAACTTCTGATGGTGAAATTCACTTGGTATATAGTATTTTGCTCATATCTCACTCAAATCACATCCGTTTAAGATGATCTAAATTCTGATGGGCCCCTGAGAGCGTGGGCTATCTGGATGTTAATACCCGAAGGCCTCGGGGCACTCAGAACTCGGAACTCGGCACTTGGCACTCGGAACTCGGAACTCAAAACTCAGCACTCAGCACTCGGTAGTCAGTATATACATAGTATGGTGCAAATATCTCACTCAAATTATATCTGCTTGAGACAATGTGAATTCTGCCACACCCCTGAGATTGAGGGCTATCTACATGTTCATGCCTGAAATCATCAAGACCCGACATCAATAACATCGAAAGCATCGAACTTCTGATGCCAACATTCACCCGGCATATAGTATTCTGTTCATATCTCACTCAAATCACATCCGTTTGAGATGATCTCAATTCTGACGGGTCCCTGAGAGCGAGGGCTATCTGGGTGTTAATACCCGAAAGCATCAGGGCACTCGGAACTCGGAACTCGGAACTCGGAACTCGGAACTCGGAACTCGGAACTCGGAACTCGGAACTCGGAACTCAGAACTCAGCACTCGGCACTCAGCACTTGGGACTCGGCACTCAGCACTTGGGACACATTAAATCACATCTGTTTGAGATGATCTAAATTCTGATGGGCCCCTGAGAGCATGGGCTATCTGGGTGTTAATGCCTGAAAGCATCGGGGCACTCTGCACTTGGCACTCGGCACTTGGTACTCAGCACTCAGTAGTCAATATATTGTATTTTGCATATATCTCACTCAAATTATATCCATTTCAGACAATCTGAATTCTCCCACACCCCTGAGATTGAGGGCTATCTTCATGTCAATGCCCGAAAGCATCGAACTTCTGATGCCAAAATTCACCCGGTATATAGTATTTTGCTCATATCTCACTCAAATCACATTTGTTTGAGATGATCTAAATTCTGACGGGCCCCTGAGAGCGAGGGCTATCTGGGTGTTAATACCCGAAAGCATCGGGGCACTTGGCACTCGGAACTCGGAACTCGGAACTCGGAACTCGGAACTCGGAACTTGGAACTCGACACTTAGTGCTCAGCACTTGGTAGTCAGTATATTTTATTTTGCACCTTTCCCAAGTACATACCCTTAATTTCAGAATGAAGTCCAGATGAAATCCAATGAAGTCCGAAGGACTTCCGGAGACTGGCTACTCTGATGGAGTGCTGGAGGACTTCTGGATGAGCACAGGAACCTTCCGGAGGAGTATAGAAACTTCTAGAGAAGTACAGGAAACTCTGGAGGAGTTTCACCTGCTGCATAGGGTCCGAAGATAAGACTTCTGAAGGTAAGCTTCCTAGATGGAAGCACATGGAGGAGAGACTGCAAGGGACAGAGTCCAAAGCAGGATCAGATAGGAGGAGTGGTCCAGAGGACAGGATGTCTGAAGGTTGCGCCATCTGAATGTTCAGATGTCCAAAGGTTATGATGTCTGAAGGTCATGATGTCCAAAGGTTACAATGTCCAAAGGTTTTGATATCCGAAGGGTAAGATGTCCGGAGATCCAAAGGTCCGGAGATCCAAAGGTCTGGAGGTCAGCAGGAGTGGACAGGATTATAGGACAGGAGAATAAAGGCTACCATGGACAAGGTCTGGAGTAGAAGCAAACAGAGGTAGGCTACACTTAGGTGGAGTCGGAGATAACAGGAAGTAGACATAAGTCTTGGAAAGACAGGAAGTGCCAGAAAGGCAAAGGTCCAGCTTAAGGAATCAATCCTTAAGCTTGGATAGAGATGGAAGGACAAATCCAAAGGTTTGGAAGTCCAGCCTAAGGAATCCTTCAGGTTGGATTCGGATCTCAGTACACTTCACTTGATTTTTGATATCCGGGACTCCATAGTCGGAACTTGAGTCTTGAATCTCGGGTGTCGGTTGTCGGTTGTCGGGTGTTGGGTGTTGGGTGTTGGGTGTTGGGTGTCGGGTGTTGGGTCTCGATGGTCGGGACTCAATATTTGGGACTCGTTGGTCGGGACTTGATACTCGATTGTTGGGATTCAATGGTCGGGCATTGGGTTTCAGGACTCAAATCTCGGGCTTTGGGACTCGGGTTTCAAGACTCGGTAGTCGGGACTCAATGGTCGATTGTCGGGATTTGATAGTCAGGGCTCGGATATTGGTACACTTCACTTGATTTTTGGTAGTTGGAACTTGGCATTTGGCATTTGGTAGGCTTGGATGATGTTGGCTTTCAAAGATCTATTATCATATATTGCTCAATGAAATACCAGACGATCGGAAGTGTGCTGGACATCACATATTCATTTGTCGAGACCCGGGTTCGGAACTCGGTACACTTCGCTCGAGTTTCCACTTCACCCCTTTGCAAGGCTCCATGCCATACTACATCATTAGATGACTTTGAATTATTACCTCCATGATATACAACTAGCTGAGCTCCATCATGTCTACAATTATCATTCTCCTGGGCCCACCGTTTATATTATATACCCCTACGTCGGCCTACCCGTCTATGCAATATATGTCTACCATTGGCCCACCCGTATATAATTAAATCTTTCACCGCTCCCTCGGCCCACTCGTCTACAAAATAATACCAATACGTCGGCCCACCCGTCTACAAAATAATATTAATTCGTCGGCCCACCCGTCTAATATGATATATATCTGGGCCCACCTGTCTATGTGATAACAAGCACCCTTGATATACCCGGCTATTTGATACATATCTACCTTGGTACACCCATCTACATAATATCCAACTACCTTGGCCGATCCGTCTATTGAAAATTCATGTCCATCGGCCCACCCATCTACTTTACATATTCCCCACCTGGGCCAACCCGTCTCCATCGGGAATAATAACACTCCCGGCCCATCCGTCACAGTCGAGGATATATCTACCTTTGGCCCATGGTCCGCTGGCCCGTATCATACGGGATATTATGCACGTCCGTTCACTCGTATAATACGGAGATATGTTACTGCAATATGTGAGATTTTTGCCCTCTTAATGGTATCCTTGATGTTGTCCTTCAACAGCTGTACAGTTTTTGGTGTCATTGCCGAGCATTCAGCAACGACAGGTGTCTCAGGTAGTGTCGTTGACAGTGATGTCATGTGTGTGTGCCATTTGGCGATGGGGTGGGGGGCTTGCAGGATGAAGTATGGTGTTCCAGGTAGAGTAGCTCTGGTATTCTGTTTTCTTGTAGTACGTGCCAGGCCTGCTTGTCTGTGTAGTTTTTAGTTAGGATGAGCACAACAAATGAAAAACTCACATGGACGACCTTGTTTTGAGTGATCTCCCCTTGCTGGATAAGTGCTAGATTGGTAGCTGGAGGAACGAACCTGTTGCCTCTGTCTATCACACTGACTCCTCTATCAGGGGCTTCCTCAATCCACGACGGCAACAGTGTTCTGTGCACGTGGGTGTCATACTGCTGGTCCTCTGTGACCTGAGATTGATCTTGACCGCTTGAAGAGTAGAAGGGCTGCGTGGAATCAGCTTGAAGTGATGGGATTGGGGCTGTGCGGATTGAGCGCTGAACAGTTGGGGCTGGGCAAGTTGAGCGCCAAATGGTTGGGGTTGTGGGAATCGAGTGGTAGATCCAGATGCATACATGTTGTCGTACTGCGTGAATTGATCCCTGCTGGCGCCAGATGCGTACATGTTGTCATAAAATTGATGCCTGCTGGCACCAGATGTGTACATGTCATCGTAAGGGCGTTGATCTGTTCGACTCGTTAGTTGTAGGTACTCGTGATTGGATTGACAAATAGCTCACCTTGGCCTACACTTTGCCAGCCCTCCTGCATGCTGTCTTGATCCTCTTGATGTGGATTGAAACCAAACACTGACATGGTTGGTTGTTCAGCCACGATATTGAGCTGATCAGCAGCTGGAAGTCCTGATGGGTTGAGTCCCGACCCTCTAGCTGGCTTAGGGATGGCAGCCTTGCCCTTTTGTTGTGTTTGTTGTGAAGGATGGCTAGCCGGCATATAGATGGTGGTCAGGAGAAAGAGATGGCAATTGATAGCGACGTCGATCGTTTCAAATTCAACACTTGTATTACACACATGAAGGTAATAAAAACACACCCAAATGTACATACTTGGAGCTATTGAAAAGCTGGTGGTCTGATGACGAAGTGATCAAGCAAGCGTAAAGGGCCTGATGTTTTGATAAGTAGTGCTATGGATATAATTGGACAGGAGGGAAAGGTATGGTGTTCGAGAAGCAGATTTATGGATGAAGCGTGTCAAGAAGTTGAGATATTAATGGCATGATCTGAACATAATTGAATGTGTGGCTATTCACTGATGCTATCAATTAGTGAGTGACCAGCTGGCAGTCAAATTCAAATACCGTGATTTGGAGAAGAGAGTACGATAAGGAAAGACTGTGAAATTGTAGCTAGGCATCATCACCTTCAGATTCTTTGTCATTGTCCGAGTCCATGGTATCATTGCTGTTATCACCATCTAAATCAGAGGACGTATGAGAACTGTTGCGGTCAACCAAGCTGGTGAATTGAGGGTGATGAGAAGATTCCCCCCTAGCTGATAGTAGGTCATTCTTAACGTTCAGGCCCAGGATCTTTCCCATTATGTCTGCCTGGGCAGCAACAGCGCAAAGAATATTGCATTCGTCGTCGTAGATGGCTTGAAGGTAGTTCCTGTCATCCTTGATTTCTGGATGGTCATGGCCGGTGAAAGCGGCTCTGACTCTCCACAATTCCTCATCGGAACATCTAAGGCGCATTTTGCTATAGCAAGCCTTGCCTTGAATAACTTATACATTGTCGACAAGTTCATTTCTGCGAGGCCCTTCAGTATTAATCCCTCATGCTTTTACTGTAAGATTAAGAATGAACCAAATAAAAGGACATTATAAACATACCTCTTCAATGTCTTCAGCTGTGAACGCTGGTCGGCATTCTCGTCCCAATGCACGAGCCGAGATATGAAGTTCCAGTGGAGAAGCTGGAGGAGAAGACAAACGAGGGGGAAGGGATGAGTTGCGGGCCTTCATTTGAGAAGTAGGTGTAGGAGAAGATGGCCGACAGGGAATATATACAAAGCGACACTTTCCACAAGGGGAAGGGCTATGCACTAGGTTCTCTTTGATGTAGCCAGGCTTCCCACGATGGGACGGAGATGTGAAGTCAAGCTTTCTGCGACGGGAAGGGCTATGCAATAGGCCCTCTCTCACTGCAGGAGAATTTGGCACCTCATCTACTGGGGAGAGAGGAATTTTGGGAGAACCTGAAAAATCAGAGCCAGATCCTATATCAGAGGTCATTAAACAGGGCGAGGTTATCTGCTTTCTTAAGAAAATCAAGGAAAGTTGTTTCAACATGGGTCGCACTGCTTGAGTTAGTGTGAGCAGGACTGCTTGACCTAGGAGAAGAGGGAATGTAGGATGACGGTGCAAATTCCATCGTCTCGCTGTGTAGACAGCTCAGCAGGTGATTACTGTACAGTGAAGATGCATAGTCTGTGGACTTTGAAAGACTTAGTAGTTTCGTCTGCAAGTCACTGGCAGGCTGGCAGCACAAGTCAAAGTATACAATGTAAGTCTGCATCTCTCAGTTTACCCTGATATTAATCACAGAATCAGGCACATGCCTTTGCAGGTTATGTCCCAACTGCAAATTGAAAGAATTTCCATCCATTGAGGTGCTTATTCTGCATCTCAATTCCCATTCTACTTGTTGGCTGCCCGAAGTACGACCACAAGAATTACCTGTCCCTCCTGTATTCCGTCGAGATCCTGTTTCAAGTACCACTGGTACTTGTCATCCAAATTCCGGCTATGTCTCTGGCGTTGGTAAAAATATGCTCGACAGGTTGGAAGACGATGAATATGCGTACTGATGAAAGATCAACTGTTACTACCCTTTCCATGACGAAGGTGAATGGGAATTAGGGGAGTTCTTAGTTGAAAACCTCACTCAAATGCAAATTACTAAGTTTTTGAAGCTGAGATGGGTAAGTAGGATTGTCCAAGCTATAGGTACAACTCTGATTGTATACAGTTTGACAATCACGCAAGACCATCTTTCACCACAAAAGATAGACTCTTGGACTGGATGGACTCGCTTCCTTGTTTTACAGAGTGGAAAGTCTCCAAAATGGAGTTTTTGGGTTACAAGACAGTCCATCCCATCGAACTTGTTTGGTGCGATGCATTGGAGGTAGTCAAACAACTATTTAGTGATCCCATCTTTGCGAACCATATGACCTTCGTCCTGCACCACGTCAATGCCTGAGATCAACGTGAATATGGAGATTACATGAGCGCTGATATGGCCTGGAAAATCCAGGTTCATTCATTGTATTCATGTGTTCCTCATTGAGTCACAGAAAGACTTGCGATTTTCTAGGACCACCTCCCTGTTGGCACAACCCAAGTTCCAATCATCCTGGGATCCGATAAAACTCCTGTCACGCGACTTACTGGGGGACTCGAGATGCACCCGATTTTCCTCACCATCGGTAATATCGATTCGGAGGTTCGCTCCAAAGCAACATTACGAGCTTGGCGCTGCGTTGCCTACATGCCGATCATAAAGTTCCGTGTGCATCCAGATTATCAGAGTATTCTCCAAGCATGGCTATGGCATAAATGTATGGACCTCATTTTTTGCTAACCTCAAGGCCACAGTGTAGAGACTCGCATTTCTGCAGGCTGATATGGGCCCCATATTATGAATTCTGACAACTTGCCTTCACTGCATGACTCACACCATCATCCACATCCGACTTCCACTATGTCTCTAGTCGACTCTGCATATCATGCACAGCTTTCCCATGAAACACGCCATAGGCACGATACTTTCCCACACAACATGCAGTATTCCCACATGTGCGCCTTGCACGCTTTCTCGCACTTAAGCGCACTACATCACACAGCATCCAGGAGCATCCATCCATCGTCCAACCAGTCCCTTGGTATGTTCCTTTTCATTATCTGACCATATTTCGCATATTACACTTCCTATTTCGTTATGGACCCTTACTTTACATCATTTACATACTTAGAGCGCTCCCTATTCGGCTCTGAGCCCTGGGAAAGCGCTTAGGTAGAACTTACATACCTTCATGTTCATTTTACACCTCACTAGACACCACCATGTTATTTGGCAGTTAGTCCATGCAATGCATGTATCTGTCGTCGCTATAGGCCCTAGCAGCAGTCTCTAGCTAGTGGCAACATCAGTACCAGTCTTCAGTTGCCTTTCTCATCCTATCATCATCATCAGTTGTCTCTCATCAGCCTCAGTTCACATTTTTACACTTGTGCACTGCTTGCACTACCTTCCCGTGCTTTGCGCACTTTCACACTTCGCTTTCCTGCGCACTGTGACAATCATACCAGCGCTAGGCGCGTATGAGTGCCATAGGCATATTTTGCCTTGCATAGAGGAAAAGAGTAAGGCGCTAGTCATCAGCACTATTCAACTCCCAAGCTATCCGCTTTGGAACCGCTTTTCTCCCATAGCGCGCTGCCCAGCCTGACGCCTAGGTATTCCATCCTCCCATGTCCTGCCTATGTCCACCTACCTCCACTGGTGCATTATTTTTCCTTAAATGTCGCTACTCATCAGTTGCAGGTCTTATTACATGCATCCTTGTGTTCCGCTGCGCTGCATGTCTTATTACCTGTCGCTACATCGTGCCTTCATCAGTGTTGCTACTATTCTCGCCTACACATTCCCGAACTTTTACGCAGTATGATAAAATGACCCATTGCACACACAGTACAGTACTTCCCTTCCCCGGACCTTTGCTGGTGTCAGAGTCACTTTAGTCGCTATATCCTAGTTTTGGTGCAATCGATTCCGCTCTTGCCAATCTCTCTGATCGTGTGTCGCTTGACTTGCTTTGAGTGCGCGTCGCTAAAGTTCCCTCATAAAGTTTGATTTTCGCAACGTCAGGATCACTATCAGTGGTCAAGCTATAATCTAGTCGCTATCGGGCATTCCACTTGCACTATCATACCTTATTCCTCGCTTTCCCTTCTTTTGATTTCTTCTCGCTGTCACTAGTCGGACGTTGCATAGCGCTATCGCATAGGACAACTTGCATAGCGCTCCTCACTTATACGCACATTTCTCTGTTGGAACTCACTTGTCGCTAGTTGCTGATTGCTACAATGCTACTCATTGGCTTTTTGGTCTTAGGTCGCTATAGGTTATTAGCCCTTCGCATCATCGCTACCCTTGCATATTTGAAGGGAGTTGCTTCAATAGCAGTCCTCTTGGGTCGAATACTACACTCGTGCCTATTTGGATAAGTAGTGCTAGTTTCTAACCAACCTAGTAGCAATTACTCTTTCACAGCGCTGTGATGACAAGATATGGCTGGGCTGTAGGTAAAAGCACCAAACCAAAATACAGTGGCTCAAAAAACTGTCCGCATGTTTTGACATTTTTCACTATCTATGATATTGTGTGAGAATGAACAAATTCCTCAAGGACATACTTATACACATTGTAGTATGGCTTCAGGGCTTTTATTTGAGCCCTACATCGTGGGAATCGGCGGAGATATGGTGGAGATATAAGGCTTATAAAATGATGACTCATGTGGACAGTTTTTTGAGTGTATATTAAAACTATATAAATCATTATTTATGACACCATAAAAATCATGCCACTATTATATAAATTATAAAGTGGTGTCATTATGTTATTTTATGACTATATCTAACTATATAAACCAGAATATCTCATGTATCATAGTCATAATCACCATGAAAGCCATCTCCTCTGCTCAAAGAGATAATATCCTCTCTCTGTCTTATGCTGGCCTCTCTGCTCGCCAAATTTCCTCTAGAACTGGAATATGCAAGTCCACTGTGGCCAAGTTCATCAAAGAAAGCCACCCAGACAAGGAAAACTCTTGTGGAGGACGTCCATCCAAGCTTACCTCTACTGACAAAAGGGCTATTATCCAACATATCACTACAGGAAAGGCTGATAATGCTGTCCAAGCCACCCATTATATCAATTCCACCATCACTACCCCTGTCTCTTCACAAACTGTGAGGAATGTTCTCAAGGCAGCTCATCTCAAGGCAAGTAACAAAGAAGAAAAAGCCTCTTCTCTCCATCAAACATAGGCAGAGAAGACTAGCCTTTGCCTTAGCTCATCAACACTGGACTGTAGAGGACTGGAAGCATGTTATATGGTCAGATGAGACCAAAATCAATAGGATTGGGTCAGATGGGAAGGTGTATGTATGGAAAAAGAAGGGAGATGGCCTAACAGACAGAGAGGTTAATGGGACTGTGTCAAGTTTGGAGGAGGTTCTTTAATGGTATGGGCTGTATGGATGGAATGGTGTGGGAATGCTTGCTGAGGTTGAGGGAAGATGAATGCTGAGCAGTATGTGGAACATTTTAAATGGACCACTGTGCTGCCTAGCTTGGCAGAATCAGGGATTGATGAAGAAGATACATCATTTTCCAACAGGATAATGATCCCAAGCACACATCCAGAAGAGCTAGGGAATGGTTTGAAGAACATAACATCAATGTTCTTGACTGGCCAGCACAGTCTCCTGATGTCAATGTCATTGAACATCTCTGGGGAACACTCAGAAAAAGCTTCAAGCCTATGAAAACCCCCCCTAAAGGAGTATGGGAGCTTTGGGAGAGAGTAGCAGTGGAATGGGGGAAGATCACAGCTGAGGATTGCCAGAAATTAATTGAGAGTATGCCTAGAAGGATAGAGGCAGTAATTAAAGCCAAGGGAGGTCATACAAAATACTAGAATACCTGGTTATTACTGTAAAATACTTGAGTCAAAAAACTGTCCGCATGAGTCACCATTTTGTGAGCCTTGTATCTCCACCATATCTCCACCGATTCCCACGGTGTAGGGCTCAAATGAAAGCCCTGAAGCCATACTACAATGTGGTATAAGCATGTTTTTGAGGCATTTGTTTGTTCTCACACAATATTATAGATAGTGAAAAATGCCAAAACATACGGACGGTTTTTTGAGCCACTGTATAGACGAATGGCAAACAAACATTAAAGACTCTACTCGAACACCTGGCGAACAACACTACGATTCACAGATCGGAAGAATACTTTACTGCATCTCGGCCAAAATATCATCAACGAGCTTATCCACAGCTGCCCTCTCCGACGGCGACAGGTCGTTCAAACGTTGGACGATTGAATCAAACGCTGCCCTATTGTCCTCAACGACAAATTCTGACTTGCCAAGTGGCGCCCTTAGCATGCTCCTGCAGCGCCCAAAGTAAGATTGTGCTGGAGAATGCAATGATATTGTCGTGGTCACACTTGTTTGGGTCAATCCAGCGGGACAACCTCTTCTCAAGTAATACACGGTTGATTATGCGGAAGAGGGCAGGGTTTCTGAATGCTGCATTCTACGTAAGTCCAAGTCAGACTTTGGAAACAGTTATATCAGAAACTTTGAACGCAAGCTCACAGTGTCTGGATCATCGAGGTAAGCAAAGCCGATGCAGAGGCTATCAATGTAAACCTGCTGGTGCACCAACTCTTTGTTCCGCTCGCTAATAGGGAGGGCAAAATCGACTGCGGATTGACCTACATCTTTGAATATACTTCGAATGCTGTTCGGAATAGTTTTGAGCTTCTTCACTTCGGTTTTTTGGCTTCCAGCCACCCATGCATCCACTGAGTTCATCGTCAATGGTGACGAATGCATCTCCACTCCCTGATTGAATGCGCGAAGCGCCATGTCTTTCAAATCGTTGCTCGCCACCATCAAGTTGTTAAGGAAATCCCTCTTGAACGCGTTGTGGGCACTGTCAACAATGCGTGAGATGGTGGCTGATGACAGTGGAGGTGGTTGGGTACTGTTGGACGTGAGAGGTTGATCAGTTATGGCAGGGGAGCCCAAGCCTGGTTGGGCTATGTGACCTGTGCCTGCGGGTTCTACAGGAGGGAGGCGCAGGTGGACAGGCTTGCGAACGGCTCTCGAGGATCCGGGTACAACCTAACATTTAGATTAGTAAATGTAAACTACTACACAAAAAATGTACACGAATCACGCTGGTTGAAAATTCCTCACCCCGCACTAGTTCACCTGGTCTTGGCTTCGCATATGCCATGACGAGGCGATAGGCTTCATACGGTGCTGCTCGACTCGCTGCACGTACTGAAGGGACGCGTAGCAATGCGTCGCTGTGGTCTGCTCGCATCCTCAGACCTGGCCTGTAGTTATCAACAGCCTGGTGGATTCCTTCCACGTTGAGCGCGGGAGCCTGTATGCGGGATTGGTACTGGAAGGGGGGTGGCGGACTGTGAGGGCATCCGCTGCTCAAATTGAGCAGGTGGTATGGCTGATGTGCCAGCCATTGATTGCTGGTTAGAGGGGGGTATCTGCCGGGCCATCTGTGGCAGGAATGATGTGCGCGGTATGGTCGATGGGCCCGCCATCGATTGGTGGCTAGAGGGAGGTATCTGTGGGGGCCATCGGTGACAGGAATGGTGCACATGGTACGGTCAATGGGCCCACCATGAAGTCCCGGCTAGGGAGGTCCATCTGTGGGGGTTCGCCGCTCCACAAACTGAGGATGGGACATTGTCGATGCACCACCCATCGTGTCCCGGCCAAGAGGGTTCATCTGTGGGGGGCACTGTTGCAGGGGACCACAGCATGCAATGCCATCAATGGACTCACCGTCATATTGTACATATGTGGGAGCCCCTACTGCAGGGATCGCACATACGGTGCCATCGATGGACCTGCCATCAATTGTGCACTGTGCGGCCTTGGTTGAGGGGGGTGAGTGGCTGCTGGCTGTATAGCCAGTTTGGATGGCACTACCGGACGCTCTATGGCCAGTCCAATCTGAGCGCTGGCGGTATTGCCACATGGGTTCTTCCCTGTGGACTCTGGGAATTTCGGTATTTGCTAGGAATTTGTTAGTTAGCAGTGACGATGAAGAATTGATATCGCACCTTTGATTTCCACTTTCCCTTTGATGGTTTCTTGGGAGGCATGGTCAGAGAGCTGGAAAATCTGAAGGGCAAGGGCAACACAACTAAATTTAGAGCGGCACTGACCGCCAATCAGTTAGACACATGTTTCATTGAGGCAGTAAATCGAGGGTGGAACCTAGAATCCAGTCTGAACACACATGGTGATCATGTAATTGTATCAGGTGTGATCAGTCGAGGCACTACAGCAATCGGTACAGGAAGGGAAACACCGTCTACACGTTGTCGAAAACATGAGCCACAAACACGTCATATGCAGTACACTGAATTGTCGGGAAATAGGAGGGTAAATAGAAGGACCCCAAGCTACACGTGGAATGGTCGAGAATATATACTTAATCACTGTAGAAATGAATATAAGCGCTCAAATATTAGTAGAGAAATGAGGGGGGGGGGGTTACCTCAGAACTCGCCTCCAAAACAAACCCTTCACCTTTGACACCCAATCAATTGGAACTAACTTCCGATACGTCATCACAACAGCTCTCGTCGTCATCCTCCGATTCAGCGCTGTTGATGAAGGGGTCCAGTAGAATACTTATCCTTGGTGATTGTCTGGTTGGAGTCGTGCAAGTTGTGATCGATTGCAAAGGCCTCAAGTTGATTCAATTGCTCCTCTGAAATGCTGAATTCTAGCAGCTCCTCATCATAGGTTCCAACACCAAAGTCAAAGTCATCTTCGAGCTGGTTTGTCGTGACGGTGGGTCATGAACCTTTCGAACATGTGGGCTTCATTGGAAGCTTCAACGTATTCACGAGCATTCTTCCGCTGAAGTAGGCTAAGAAGCGTTTGATGACGCTCAGCCTCCTCTATCTCCCAGGCAGTCATAAGGAGACGCAAGCGTGACTTTTCACGAGTCGCTTGCTTTGCGGAAACGGCTTGCTTGATAGTTTCCTCGTCCATGCTCTGCAAGCCGCGTCGAAAAATAGTAGCAGCCTGTACATTCTTATTAAATGTTGCACCATAGGATAGATAAGCATTGAACGTACCGCTTTCGCATCAGCTATTGATATATCTGGCGTGATCATTTCTGAGTATTGACCTCCTTGTCCAGCGCAGTTCTGAAGCACTTGGCCCAGCAGGCCATGCATAAGGAGTAAATTTCGATTTTGCACGGTCTGTATACTGAGAGAGGCGGCGGACAACGCCATGGGCTGGAAGAGATGGAGTATAATCCCGAATGATATGAGGGCTCACAAAACAGTCATTTAAATCGGTGGGTGGGGTAAGTGGTCTGTCGCTGGATGGAGGTGATGAACTCTGGGGGGGAGATGAACTCTGGGGAGGAGATGAACCCTGGGGGGGAGAGGCATGGCGTTGGCGAGTAGATATCATGATATGTGCTGACCGTCAGCAGTCAAAGCGGAAAGTGTCGGACTTTGAAAGACTTAGAGGAATTTTGCAGTCGAAATTCCAATGCGGATCTGGAACGCAACTACGATGAATGATGAAGTTCCAGCAGACGATATTCCTTGGCCTTAGCAAATCATTTCTGATAATGCAAGAGATCCCACTGTGACCTGCCAAAACTCAGACTGCCAACAACGTTTTCCTTTCCTAATCCAACCAAGACATGCTGGCCAGTCGAGGTCTCAAGGACACATGGCCAAGCCTCCTGCAGTTACGCGGAGCCCACAAACATCATGATGGGCAGTCTGGAGCAGATAAGACCATGGAGGATTCCATTCGGACTGCTCAATATCATCCACAATCAGGCTATGTCTACGGAGACGGACAGAACATATTTCAGCAAATTCAGAATGATGAACATGAGCCAAAACGGACACACAATCTGTACTGGCCCTTTCGCGATCATGGAGAGTGGTCACTCGGTAAATTTCTAGTTGAGACCATGATGCAGACAGAGATCGATCGTTTTCTCAAACTGTCTTGGGTATTCTATATGATCTGTCTGTGTACTACTTGCTAACTCTACATTTTCAGTTCAATGTGAAAGAAAAACCCTCATTCTTGAGTGCTCGAGAACTATTGTCCTGGATGGACCTTTGACCTCCCGGGCCGAAATGGTGTATCACGCAGTTTGAAGTCCAGGGGTACACCACCAGCTGCTCCCATTCATCTAATATGGCGTGATGGCCTTGAAGTTGCGAAGAGCCTCTTTGGCAACCCAATTTTCGCTCAAAACATGTCTTTTGATCCTTTACATGTCCGGGAGGGTGCGCAGCGAGAGTATGGAGAGTGGTTCACAGCAAATCGAGCATTCTCGACACAGGTATGTGCTTCTGTTCTGTATTTTCACATTCTCAACTATCGACTATTCCAGGACCAGCTGCCCGAAGGGGCGACCATAATGCCCATAATAGCTGCGTCGGACAAGACACCAGTCACAAGACAGACGGGCGGTCTGGAAATGCACCCTCTTTTCCTCACTATCGGCAACATCGACTCTGACATTCGTATGAAGGCTACATCCCATGCTTGGCGATGTGTAGCATATATACCAATCCCCAAGTTTGAAACACATTCTGATTATCACACAATCCTGAAGTCGCATGTCTGGCACAAGTGTGTTGACTTAGTCTTTGCCAGCTTAAAGGTCGCAGCAAAGGTCGGCGAGTTTATGCCTGATCCCTTTGGTGAACTTTGATATTGCTTTACCCCTCTTGTCGCTTGGATCGCAGACCTTCCAGGAACAATTGATGATCGCCTCTGTGTCAAAGAACGCATCCCCCATCACACTGGCCACTCACAAGCAATTCGGGGATGCCAACCGTCACGATCCTCAGCACAGCGGAACATACCTTGGAGCTATTGTACATTCTCAGCAAGTCCATCGATCCATGGAATCTTGACCGGTTCCAGAAGAAGGCGAAGGAGCTTCTCCTCCTAGGCAGTTCATCTTCCGTTCTGGCGCGACTGGGCGCTCACCCAGGTCTTTATTTTCCTTGTCCCTGAAATCCTTCACACCCTGCACAAATTCTTCTTCGACCATCTGTTGCAGTGGTGTAAAGAAGTGGTCGGAAGCGACGAGCTTGACGCACTGCTACAAGAGTCATCACAAGTGTGTTGGTGTGCGTCACTTCTCTTCTGGGATCTCACATGTAGCACAGATGACTGGACGAAGAGCATCGTGATATCCAGCGCACCATTGTCGCCATGATTTCGGGTGCTGCTCCCCCTGAATTTGTGCAAGCTATTCGTGCTCTCATCGATTTCATGTATCAAGCGCAGAACCCTGTCCATACAGAATCAAGTATCGAGGCAATGCAAGCGTCACTTAACGAATTCCACGATTGCAAGGTGGCAATCCTGGAAGCTGAGGCACGTCGGGGAAAAAGCAGCATCAAGGAGGACTTCTACATACCAAAACTTGAGCTCCTTCTGAGCTTCGCAGAGGCCATTAGGAACAACGGTGGATTGATTCAATTCACTGTGGATGTTAGTGAACGACTTCTCATCACACATTGCAAAAGCCCTTTCACAAGAACGAGCAAACAGAAAGATTTCAGCGAGCAGATCGTCCACATCCTTGATCGTGAAGAGCGGATGCGGCAGTTCGATCTATATCTCCTCCTTCGCCAACACAACCATGCTCTCGTGAATGCCGTCGTTGATGAAGATGAGGAGGTATATGCCACAGGACCCGACGATGGCATGGGTTTCTCGTGTTGCCCCTGACGAACAACATCATTTCAGCTGCCCCCAGGCCCATACGGAATCATTTCACCAAGGGCATCCTATCCGACAGCGCCAATGCAGCGCTTACCAGTCACTCGCTCTCCTGATGGCTCAAATCTGAGCTGGCCTGATGTGATGCGCACCTATGGACTCCCTGATCTTCGTCACAAGGTCACAGAATACATTCAGCGATATGCAGATGATGTCGAAGGGTGTTTCCGGATGTTTAGCACCATTAAGATTTGGTCCAAGTTTCGTATCCAACTGCATTTGACATTTCGCCCATCAATTATCATGCCTAGCCAAGCTGTCCAGGCCGAACCACCAAGTGATACATTCCCATCTGGAAATTGTGATGCGATTTTCTTAGACACGGATCAAGGCGCAAATAACCCTGGTTGTAAGTTGGTTTATACTACCTATCTGTGCCATATACTGATGACATCTACTGTCTAGTTCCCGTTGCTCAAGTTCGCATTGTATTCCAGCTGGCCCCACCCCGGCGCTCAACTGCGAAGCTTCCTGACTTCCTGTTGCACCCCCTTCTCTATGTCCAACCTTTTCAGTATTGTAAAAACCCCCGAAGATCTAGAGGACACTCGGTTGTGGAAACTTGAGAGGGTATATGCACCTGCAACGCAGCCCAAAACCCGCACCGGGTTTGTCATTCCCATAACAGAGGTAACACATGCTGCAGAGTTAGTCCCAGTGTACGGAGAAAAGGTTGACCATTCCTTGACTTCAGCGACATCTCAGGAGCACTATGACCACTTTTATCTTAACCGTTATGCGGACAAGGAGATGTATAACGCGTTGCATGAATCATTGGACACTGAGTATACTCTTTAGGATTAATCTTATGCCACTGTTCTTTCCAATAGCAACATCATTTGTAAACACAGTACTGTAGGCGCAATGATCTTGGTCCTCGATTAGATGCTTTTGGATTGATAAGATGACCAACTCGCTGATAAATCTCGCCTGAGTGCTAACATGATAATCGGACTGACCAACCAATCACATCCCTCCATCACTGCGAACATAAGTGTTCGTAACACGCTTAGCGTAGGCGAGAGAAGCCTTCGTTTCAGTGGTTTTGCAGATGCACGACCATATAACTGTCTATATATAAAACACTCCCCACAATGTGCCATCGCCGCCGGCGAGGGACCCGTTTCGGCCGTTGCCGAACCGAACAGGGTGCAGAGATGATGCTGGACAATTGGCCATCAGGGAAGTGACGTGAAAATGGTAAAGTTTTGTCAAGCTTTACCTGATTTAAAATTTGTATAATATCTATCAAAATGATAGTTCACTAGAAAATGCTTTATATACCCAGAGTAAGTTGGATGAAAACTCCCAAAAGCACAATCATGATAGTCTACCTGCAATTACTTGCCATTTCTCACCAAATCGGCAAATGTTGCCAACACTTGGCAGCCATGACAAAGTTTGATAATGTTGGGTGGCTTCAAACAAAAGCTAATTTTTCAACCTTTGTACACACATTTTTTCCAAAAAAATTCATTTTGTAATTAAACAAACAAGATGTAAGTACATATATACATATATAACACTACAAAAGACAGAAAACGAGTATAAGAGGGAGGAGGGTCCACAAAGGAGGGTCCGCGAAGGAGGGTCCAAGAAGGAGGGTCCGCAAAGGAGGGTCCAGGAAGTAGGGTCCAGGAAGGAGGGTCCAAGAAGGAGGGTCCAAGAAGTAGGGTCCAGGAAGGAGGGTCCAGGAAGGAGGGTCCGCGAAGGAGGAACCAAGGAGGAACCGCGGAGGAGGGATCACCAGGGAGGAGGGACCACGAAGGAGGAGGAACCAAGGAGGAGGAACCATAAGGGAGGAACCAAGAGGGAGGGACCAAGAGGGAAGGCCAAAGAGAGTGAGAGTTCGAGATTCAGAGAGTAATTAAGTGGTGGTGGTAGCATTGAGAGAAGGAACTAGTAAGAAGACTCTAACGTTGAACTTTGAAAAAAATTCGGACTTACATAAGCATCCCATAGGGCCGAGCCTCTTGATCCCAAGTGGTCACTGGTGACCATAGGTGACCATGCAGTCGAGAAATGCTGGTACACTTGCCTATTTTCATCAGAATTATACATTTTTGCCATATCTTACCCTTCGCTACCAATTTGCTTATCTTATATATTATTTTGTCTACTTTTGTCATTACATATAATCGCGTGAATTTTTGATCTGGTCTTACCAACTACAACTACAAAAACCGTCGCCTCGGCGATTTCCTGATGTGTTCATGATCACAGTTCCTCTACACAGACCAGTACCCTTTCAGGGTCCTGGAATATACCCAGACCGTCATTCGTGGTATCTGGTCGGACATTGGAACTAGTCTCAATTTTGACGATTGGCCTAGTAGTGTTCTGCAAATGGCTGGAATGTTGTCACGGTATCTATGCTCATATGTAGTATTTCTGACAACTCGAACAACCGTTACAATATTTCACAGGTAATTCCAAGCTCTCCAACTTGAACGTTCTGAATCCGCAGGGGTATCCCTGAACACAAATATAAATAGACTGGATCCACCTCATTCATTTCTTCGAGCAGATAGGCTAAGTACTTAAGTACAGTTGATACGTTCATATTGCATATCGTAACATTGCATATATGTTGTAATGCATGGACTTTTGAGGATCCCGACATGGGTGGGCTGAAAATGCAGACATAATAACGCATAATGCATTGCTATTGTATGAATGATATGCACTATCAGAGGGTGGTAATTAGGGCAATGGAACATAAGTAGCACCCAAACCATTGTTCTCCAGCATTGTCCTGCTCAGCTATGTAAGCGTTGAATGGATATGATGTCCTGTATTCGTAAAATGACCCTAAACCTGAAATGCAAGCCACGCGATAAGCCCGCCGCATACACTCGACCTAGATTGCTATCAGTACTATCATTCCCGGTAATATGTACACGGTTGCTGATATGCAAAACTTTATAACACTTCAACATCGTGCTCAACTGGTGTCGAAAAAATTCAGGTGTATGCAGAGTACCTAGAAATGATGTTTTGTACAAGTAGAATAAAATTTCTTGGATGTTGCAGCTGCGAGAGATGAAATAGTGATAATTTGCAACCTTGGTCCAACACAAATCACCCAGATCCCAAAGATCCTGCCAAGGTATTCGCAAAATTTTACCCGGAGCATAATGAACACCTTATAGGGATGTAAGAACACCAACTCGATAAAGGTTACTCTCTTGTGTTGAGGTGCTACAGTGGTAGAATCAACGACGAGTACAAAAACGTGACACCAGACAGGGGAGATGCGTAAGTAATTCAATCTCCTCCTCGGCACATCCGGCATCTATCCTCTGCAGCAGTCAAGTCTCACAGAGTCGCATCATTCTCTCCAATGGCACCACACCGCAGGCAAGCAGTCCAGACAAAAGCCGAAAAAGATGCCATTCGCGAGGCCAACATCAAAGCTGCTATCCAAGCTGTTAGAGAGAAGAGGGCTAAAAACCTCTCAGCTGCAGCTGGCCAGTTCAATGTGCCATACCATACCCTTCGTCGACGTGCACAGAACCTTACGAAACCTCATTCAAAGGCCACAAATTCCAAAGCGAGATCGGCGAGAAACA